GCTGACGGCAATAGTACCAACCCATATATGCCCAATGCCAGTATTCGAGTCCGAGGCTATTGTCCTTGTCATGTAGGTGTTTTGTGAATTCCGTTTAGAGGAGATTCCAAAACCATCCACGCGTCCGACCCCTCTCGCGTCTTTTGTTTATCGGCAATGGTCGAGTTTATTCCAGTTAACCATGGGAAGTGTGCTAGAGCTTGTTTAGGACGGGCCGTAGAAATAGATCGCCTTTGATTCAGGAAATGCTAGCAAAGCCTCATACTCTTCTAGTGTGGGCGACATATCCACACTCCCAAAAGTGAAACAGCGGTATTCCGGATCCCAATGCCCTATCATGGCTTGGAAGCACGAGATCCGAACCTTAATCTTAAGCGAGTCGAGCTATATCACCATACATCTTTTGGAAGTCAAACCTATCGGTAGAAGTAAGCATTTCCCAACAACTAAGTAGTGGTCCCATATTAGGTAGCTTGTCGGTGAGTTTTGCTTTCTCGGACGGTTTCGACACAAAGCTCGAGGGCGGACAATCTCCCTCATCAATTTGGGCCCGTTCTAATCCGACCCTAAAATCCTCAATGTCATTTCGATTTCTTCTATCATGATTTAATGTGAAGGACCACTTGCAAGAACCGAGGGTTAGTATTTACATCATTCGAAAATGATTCGTGTCTTAATCGAGTCAACCCTAATGGATAGGATCTAGCTCGTATACGGCTTGGCAAAGTTCGGTCTAATCCTAAATCTTTTCAAGCTCCCGAACCGTCTAAATTACTAGTGGGGTAATCCGAGCATCCGACCTTATGTGTTAGGAGGTAGGGGAAGGTTATTCCACCATTTCCTATGCATAGGGCGAGTTCCAGTCCAAACAACGAGTCCGGAAGAGCATCGGTAGACTTTCTTCATACTTGCCTCCAAATCTCTCTATCTAAATCATAACCGGGTCCAGCTCGGGTCCGGAGCTTTTGTAGGTTTCATTCGTGGCGTGTGTGCAACGAGTTCAAAAAAAGCATGTAACCCGAGTTCAAAATGCATTAAGTATGTACGAAATTAAAAGGAAATAAATTGCAAAAATTTAAAGACAATAAAATAATACAAGAAAATAAATGACTTGAAAAATAAAAGAGATAAAAAAAATGGCAAAAGAAAATAAAGAAAATAAATTTGCAAGGACTAAACCCATGGCCCGACATATCTCCCCAGTGGAATCGTCATTCCGTCGCTACCCGACGTCGGACGGGACTCCAAAAAAAAAAATAAATCTCATGGTGTCACTAGTTTCGGATCTTTATTTTATTTACAAAACTATTTACGAGTTTTAAGTCGCCCCCTAGTATTGAAGGAACTAGGAACCTAAAATTAGCATTGGTTCGGAGATTCTATGGTGAGGAGTCGGTTACGCTTTAGGGAAGATAATTAATCACCCAAAAGTGCCCTTTACTAAGAAAGGTACCACCTCTAGCTTAGTCCTAAATTATCTCCAAAAATATTTTATTTTTGCCAAATTATTTTTCAATTTTTGAGACTCTAATTTTTCAAGTCAAATTAAGTTTTTTATTTTGGAGCGTGGCATCGTATTGAAACGATCGTCGGACCCCTTTCGTCGGGAGACACGTCGGTTCAAACATCGAATTTATTTTTTAGTCTCGACACAACCGGTGTGTCGGAGAACGACTTGTTTATTAGAAAAACTTTTTTGGCTAACAACGGTCCCTATCGGATAGGAGACTTTATTAAAAGTTTTATGATTTTTTTTTGTTATTTTTCTTTCTTTATTTTTTTATTATTATTTTTTATTATTTATTTCTTTTTAAGAAGGATTGTCATCGATCCCTAAAAATTTAGGAGACTTGACAATCTTCTATTTATTACTTATCGAACCTAATTACTAAACAAATAAATTAAAGCTACATGAATTAAATAAAAGAAATCAAGTATCGAAATCTAAATTAGTAACGAGCATGCATAAAATAAATTCTAGATTAAAAATTACATTAATTAAAATAATAAAAAAACAATTCAATAGCTAATTTTAATACGAAATAACAAAATAAAAAAATTCACTTTTTTTTTGGATGGACTGTCCGACCCGAAAAAAAATTTCATTCGGGTTGAGCTGGAATCATTCCGACTCAGCGGAAAATGAGCCCAACCCAACCCAAAAAAAAAAAAGACCAAACCCATAAACACTCCCCTTTTTTTCTTCTTACATTTCAGATCAAAACTAAAAAAAAAACCCCTTTTTTTTTTTTAATTCTGTCCTGTCTCTCCCTCTTTCCTTTTTTTTCTTTCTTTTTCTTCTCTTCTCCCTCTCTTCTTCTCCGTCGGCTCCAGCCTCCATGGACGAACCAGTGGAGGTTCGTCCCTTCTCTTCCCTTCTCCTTCCCTTTATTTCACTTCTCCCTTTCTTCTTTTCTTCCCTTTCTCTTTTCTCTCCCTTTCCCGTCTCTCTCTCTCTCTCGTTTTTTTATAAAACGTTAGCTGCTGCCATGGACAAACCAGTGGAGGTTCGTCCATGGCAGCTTGATTTCCCTTTTCCTTCTTTCTTTTCCCCTTTCTTTCCTTCTTTTCCTTGCTCAAACAAAAACCCCCAAATCAATTTTTAAATGTTCTTCCCCAATTTTGGCCAAAACCCTAGGTTTTCAAATTCTTTAATTTTCTTTCAATTAGGCTTGATTGACTTGAAATCAAGTTAATTCACACCCTTTAGGACTCAATTTTATCAAAACCCCCAAATCTATTCTTTAAATTTTTTCAATTTTGAAAAAATCCCAAATTTTAAATCGGACTTAAATTATAACAAAAAACGAAATTAAAGAGAAATTAGAGGGATTACCTAAAAGAATTGGTTGGAATGGATGTGGACTGCCTTCAATTCGAGTAAATTTAATTTCTTGTTTTTTGTTTCGGATTTTCTCTCTTTTTTTCTTTACTCGTCGATTTCCTTCTCTCTTTTTTTGATCGCTAACTCTCTCCTAATTTTGCGAGCTTCCTTCTTAATTAATTTGTTCTTGGATATCGGATCGAAGAAAAATCCCCCTTCCCCCCTTTTTTTCTTCTTGATACTGCTCGTGTATATATATATGTGTGTGTGTGTGAATATCGGCTTGGTTCTCCACCATGATGGTGTGAGATTTTTTTTACGGGATATCCGGTGGGCGTGTGTGACCATTTGGGTTGTAGGGAATGGTTGTGGCGGTGGCCGGTAATAGGGGAAAGGGTCTGTGCGATTCTTGCCGATTGTAGCATGGTGAGGCTGCGAAATTGGAGGAAGTGGTCCGGAGGGACTGTGGGAGTTACAGCAGAAACAGTGAGGCTGGGCAGTGGGGTGTCTGCTATTGTTGATCGGGTGATGAGGGAGAAATGACAGTGCAGATTGAGGGAATTAATTTTTTCTAGGATTGGAATTCAAGACCAAAATTGAGCACCGAAATTAGTTCCCGCAATCGAAACTAAAAATGATTCCGTGAAGCAGGAGAAAAAGTAATCCCGTAAATTAGTTCAGGCGGGAGGGGTGCAAACTTTGTATTTTTTCGATTTTTTTGTAATTTTTATTTTGTAAATTTTTTTTTGTTTTGTTTTGTTTTTGGATTTTGGTCACTCGTAAATTGTTATTAGGTCAATTTGGTCCTTGTCCAATGTAATCTGGCTCTTGAATTTTAAAATGATTCGATTGTATCCTTAATTATTATAATACTTTTGAATTTATTACAATTGCATCCCCGAATATTAAATTCACTTTGTTTTTGTATTTTTGTATTTTTTTTTATTTTGTACATTATTAAGAAAAATGGAATAAATAAAAATAATAACATTGATTAAGATAAGAAAAATAAATAATAAATAAATAAATAACTTAAAAAAAAAAAAACAAATAATCAATTAAAAATAAAGAATTCCGAAATTTTGGTTATGACAAAACTTATTTATTAACTATAAGATAATCGTTAAAGGAGAAGACCTCTCTATTTTGCATGAGTACAATCAATAATCCCTCAATTCTTGTATATCAACGGAACAATTATCTTTTTAACGAGTGCATATGTAACTTGTCAAGTAACGAGACTATATAATTGGACAAGACGACCATGAATCAATCGTCTTGCAAATCATGTTTACTCGTTGTACATTTGAGGTCGGGAGTGATGGAGGCCATGAAACTTTTTTTAGATTCCATTTTAGTCTACAATTTTAAAAATATTTAATTAAACCCTTCGATTTAAAGTTTATTTCATTAAAAAAAAAAAACATGTTTTGCATCCAAAAATCATGTATTATCTAATTGGCACCCTCAATCATAAATTTTTAATGCCGCTAGCATGTCATCCGTATAATTAAAAAGTTTCAATCGCTTTGCAAGTGAGCGATACTCTTTTTTCATTCTTTTATAAAATGAATTTTTTTCCTCTAATTTTAGTTATTCATTCTATTTTTTCAATTAAATTTATAATTCAAATAAATGTTAGAGCAAATAGCTACCCTTTGAATTTCAATTGAGTTTGAGAGTTGGTCTTTTTTGCGACGTATAGGGGGAGGGGGAAGAAGCTTCTCATGTCAAATCCATTTACATATCTTCGTTACTAGGTTCTACATACGAATCCAAATCAAAGGGCTCAAACCCAACCAAAAAAATGGGTACTGGAAGTCCATCTACTTCTCCAACTGCATGGCCCAATTCAGGCACCAGTCAACTTGGCTACGAATCCTCTTCTCGGCGGCACAAGACATCCTCCAATCGGTTTTAATTTTTAAAAACCGAAGACTATTTTAGTAATTCAAATCTTCTCAAATTGCTCACATGGAATTCCACTGCGATGCCACTTGTCCAGTCAGCTAACTCTCAATCTTGTCACCTAATTATTTTCCTTTAGGGGTTTTACCAGAGGAGACAGATTGTAGAGAGACCGAAGAATCGAATTCCTTGCTTCAAAGTAGAGATGGGTATACTATGCATAAAGAGGTTTTTTTTCAAAAAGAAAGAGAGAGGCTTGTTGAAGAAAATGGAGGGAAGCAGTGGTGGCAGCAGCAATTATAATAACAGTAGAATTGTAGTTACAACTGAGAGAAAGTCTATGCAAGGAATCAAAATAGAGAATCCCTTTACTTTCAAAGTACTTCAAGTATTTACTGGCTTTGGTTTTGGTTGTGGAATTGGTATTGGTCAAGGCTTGCTTATAAATATGGGTACACTCTCTTTCTCTCTTTTTAATCTACCAAAGTTTCATTCTTTATATTTACATATTGCGCAAGATGGATTTTTCTGATGGTTTGTTTAAACCCAAGAATGGTGAAGAAATTCATGTGAAATCTATCCTTAAAATCCCATGTCAATGATCATTTTATGCTTCTTTCTTTTCTTTGCTTTCCTTTTGTCTTGTTTCAAAATGTTTTGAGTTTTTGTTTGATTGATGGGAAAATGTGGGAATGAGGAGAACTTCTGTGTTTGACTTTTTTGATTGAGTTGGAAGAAGCATTTGTATTGAGTGTTTATATTAATTTATGTGATTGCATTTTGTTTACTATGATTTGTATCAGTAACTTGTATTGAGTTGGATTAATTACATGTTTCATACAATTACATTTTGTTGAGTTGCAATTGGATGTTTTGAGGATAGTCCTTTCTCCTAATTGCATTTTTCAGTGCATTTTATTGCCTGCAATAAAAGATGTTACTACAGCGAAAATAAAGAAAAGAAAGTATAGGAAAGAGAAGAGTTCAATCACACTAATCGTTTGGAATTTTGAACTGACCCAACATATATAATTGTATCGTATGGGGTGCAAATGACTTCCTTCCTTTTAGAATTGTTAAGTCCTAGGAAATGTTCATGATTTCCGTAGTCCTTGAATTCAAAGCATGGGTTTCTTCAATCATCCTGTAAGTGTTAATTAGTGGAGTCAACCCATACATACCTGTACGCCATTTGTGATTGTAATTTTAAGTACTCTCTCACAAGGAGCATTTCTAGTCTTTGGGGTGAAAGTAGATTCCAATAGGCACATGATATTAATTTTTAGCTTCTTTAATAGGTGATACTTTTGCTAAGGACATCTCTGAATATTTTCAATGTGTTGTGTGGTTGTTAACTTGCAAATTATGATTTGAACTATATCCTAGGTGCATTGCCAATGGTGGGCCAAGTAATGAGTGCGACTAGAGGTGCAACTGATGCCTTTTCTGGTGTTACCAGGCATGTAAATAGTGCTGTAAGTCAAATGTTCATTCCTAACTATGGATATTACTACTGTTTCTTCATGTGGTTTGGCAAGTTAAATTGATCTGATCACCCAACTCTCATTCCTCAGCTATGGAAGCTGGGAGCTAAGAACATTCAAGCAGGCGAGGGATGTGGAGTTGGTTTTGGCCATGGCTTTGGAATCGGTATGCCATTTGTTATGTCCTCTGAAGAACCAATCAGTGCTTAATATTACTGTGATATTATCACATTGACAACATTATAGATACATAACCTGCTGTTATATGAGTGTCCGGTGGACTCTTATTTTGCCCTGCCATTGTATTAGCATGCGTGTCATTTGTCTGGCTGGCTGGTATAGGAAATGTTGACAGGGTCCACTTAATTACTGGTTGTTTTCAGCTTGCAGACTGCTTGAACATGAGTTTATTGTGATCTAGAAAGATTTACAAGGAGATAGATATAACTTTTTGTGGCTTCTTCCATTTTTTCCTCCTTTTGCTCTACCTAGGTCATTATGCAAAGCTTTGCACATTTTCATGTTTATATGGAATTTTAGCGTAATGCTCTGGCCTGGATATACAACTTCCATGAGTTCCCTTGAATATTTTCTGACCTATTATCCATTTATATCAAGACTTCTGTTGGAGTATCTTGAGTTTCCAGAATTTTGAAATGAGTCGTATTAGATATATTTAATAATTGGCCTTGTGATAGGTTTGGTAGCATATTTAAATATGCTATTCTCATTAATCCCCTTTCACCTTATCATTAACCACACTTTTGATAACTGAAAACCAAAATTTTACATTTCAGGCCTTGCAGTGAAACCTTGGGCAGTGCAGAAGATGCAAGCTTGTCTTCTAGTATGTAATAATATTACCTTGTAACAGAAATCTTTAGTGCATGCACAATATTTGTTTCAAGTTCACAACTTGTTTACCTGAAATTTGGTTGTCAAATATTTTAGGTAGTATTGACGAAGATGATGACAAAACTTGGACTAGCACCCAATTTATCAATTGGTCAAGGTGCCCTTCCGATGTCTTTGCAAAGTGGCATGAGCATGGCAAATGAATCTTCAGTCCAAAACCCATTGGGAAGTATCGCACAGTTAGCAACAAAATTCCCAGACCAAACATCTCAAGGCCTGTACGGATATGGAAACGTTAGTTCACATTCAAGTGATGAAAGTTCCACATCAAAAGGCAGTCTGCTTGATAATTCTTTTGGTAGCCGAACAGAGAAGGTGATTAGCAGTTTTCTTCAAAATCCTATTCTGAAAGATGATGGCACCAACATAAATGAAGTGGTAATTATGATAAATATTTTGCCTTTCTTGCTTGATTAATAGATGAGTGACGCAATCAGACCTTTGGGTGTTCTTCCTGAGAACTTATAAACAGATATTGCATGTTGGAATGCATCCCTTCAGTGCTTTGAGTACTTATTACTATGCCTTCACTAGGCCATCTATTAGCTTTTAGGCTGATTTTTATAAGTTCAAATGCTTGTAAGTAAATCAAGTATATAAGTGGCTTTCAGAAGTTTGTGGCACAATGTTTCAATGACTGGTTTAGCTTATGCATTGAAGCCATGGGGGAAACTGATTGGCAGGCCCTTGGACATCAGCTTGAGGCCATAGGTTTCCTTTTCCTTTAAGAGAAAGGGTAATATGAAGTGTAATGTTAGAAAGTTAGTTGTTCTTTTTGTTTCCATTTTGGTGGTAATCACTTTCATTAGTGATGTTTCATTGCTATAGTTAGAATATGATTCAGTTATTAAGGTCGAACCCCTATGGCCAAAACCATTCCATTTTGATTGTGGAGAATAAAATTCCCTTTAGAGGATAAAAAAAAACCATTTGAACTGTGAAGTTGACAGGTTTGTTTTTCCAAGTTCAAATCTAGAATATGGGCAGCTTTTGTCAGAATCTGTTTATATATAAAATTTAAAGGAAAAGTTTTAAAGCAAAGAGTTAATGTTTCATGCTCTTCTTATATCCAACAATTTGGCCTAGTTCAAATCTGAAAACTATTGGAACTTATCTGTGGAATCTGTATGTATGGAGCAGATTATTTGCTTATAAGATGTTGTTTTAAGCTATGAGTGCACAAATACTGATGAATACATGATCCTTTTCGAGGAACAGTAGAAGGAAGCACTATTCGTAGATACTCAAAATTTACCACCATAGGGTTATGCTCATTTTCAATGGAAAGTTCCACATCATAAACATACCAAAACCGTTAATGAACGTAATTTTCACTTGATTTGAGATGATAAATAATATCATGGTCTGAAGTATTACAAATTTACATCTGATTCATGGATCCTATGTCTACAGGCTGGACGTTTGCAGTCAGAAAACAACATGCTTCAAATGGTAAACTTTCATGCTGATCACTATTTCCCTATATATCATGAAGCTATTCTATCAACTTGATGTTGTTTCCATGAAAATATTTATCAGCAATGGAATTCTGGTAGAATACACTGACTGTTCGATATAATGTTTTTTTTTCTAAGGACAGTTTTTGATCAATTGTCAAATTTAACAAATCACAATTGGAGTTTCAAAATTTGCTTGAATTGGTTCATTTTCATCTATGTCTATATTAATTGTAGGATGCAAACTCTTCCACTAGTTAACAACTCTTTAGTTTACTATCAGTAAGTAAATTTGTTAAATGTTCTAACAAGATAAATTTATTCTGTTCAGGTGTTGAGACACCAGCAAATCATTGATGAGCTCATGGAGGAGAATCAAAAGCTTCGTCAGATACTAGTGGAGGACTTAAAAGTATCACCCAACAAGCTCCAAGCCAGTCACTCAACTAGAAATAAATCTCCATGCAGTGATTGTTTTGAGTGCCGAAGAAGACAGAGAAAAAAGTAGATGAAGATGAATGTAATTTTTCAAATTCTTGATCACTAAGTTCTCAATTAACGACCTTTCAACCTATTTGGATGTTTTGCTCCGGCTTCAAAATACTATTTTGAAGAACCATTCTAAGGAGGCATCAATTCTATACAAAGAGGAGATATGAGATTAAGTAGGTAGATACAGATATCCATGCAAGCAATTGTCAATTGGTTAAAGATCAGTCATACAAAGAGTTGAAGAGCTTCTGAGCCAAAAGGTAATCTAACCATTCTTTGTTTTACCTTAAGCTTTTCAACGTTTTCTATATGTATTTGTTACGTTTAAAAATTTTTTCAACCACTTTTTTTTTTTTTTCAGTTGATTGACTGCAATTTTCGTTTTTTATAATGCTCAAGTTATTTGCTATTAACTTCTATACTATGCCGCTGTGAATTCTTATAGATGAACATTATAGATGAACATGTCACTTAGTTGTTTCTGTCTACATTTGCATCGAGATTCCTCGTTGTTTTGATTATTGCAATGGTTTGTGCACGTTTTACATCTTCTTAATGAACAAATGAATTTTAAAATGAAGATACTAAAAAAAAGGAAGGAGAAACTCTTTAAGCTTTTGGCTGCAAAACAGTATTACTGACAATAATTTGAAGTTAATAATTGTTGGTCATTATTAGATAGCTCACAATAATTACGGTGACAGCTATGTGACAACTATTAGAGCCTATATCTTTAAATCATATTAGCTGTAAACTAGTATGCTAATTGCTATTATTTAGGGAGTAAATTAGGTTACGTAATTTAGTAACTTCCTTTTTCATAGATTTAACTTTGTGTATATAAAGAGACTACTTGGAACAAGATCAGAATAGGGTTTTAAGTTCATATTCTTTTTGTTTTCTTTATAATTGACATGGTATCGAGCCATGATATTTCTTCTTTGAAATATTTTTTTTCGTGAATTCTTTGGTGAGCTTTTGCATTTTTTCTTGATTTCGTGTGAATCAACTTGGGGGTGGGAATTGATTTACGTATGAAATTTGGTTTGGTGTTGATTGTTTCCTTTGTGGTTATCTTTATAGTTGATTTTTTTTTTGTTCTTATTGTTTGGTGGATCCTTTTTCCCTCTTGATATGTCGGACCATAAAGAATTTATCCCGGTACGTTTTGATGGTCAAAATTATATTCTTTGGGAATTTAATCTTTGAAATTTTATTCAAGGAAAAGAACTATGGGGTTTTATTAGTGAGTACCGATAAACCCCCCACTGATCCTAAAGAGGAGACTAAATGGGTGTCAAACAATGCTCGAGTCATCAATTGGATTTTGGGTTCAATGGCACCTCATATTGCCTTGACTTTACGCCCTTATACGACTGCATGTGAGATGTGGAATCATTTAAAAACAGTTTATCACCAAGAAGATGCAACTCGAGAGTTTCAACTTGAAAAAGATTTACGGGATTATACCCAAGGTGATAAATCTATTCAAGATTACTATTCTGGTTTTGTGGCATTATGGCTTGAATATGCATCTCTTATATATACTACTTGTTCCTCCAAATGCTCTTTCTGCAATGCAAAAACTTCATGAGACATCAAAACGTTATCAATTTTTCATGAACTTGAGGAATGAGTTTGAACCTATTCGTGCTTATGTTGATGGGTAGACATCCTACACCGACTCTTGACATGTGTTTTAAAGAACTTCTTCGTGAGGAGCAACGCTTAAAGTCATTGACTCAAATGGAGCGACAAAAGGTTTTTGGCCATTCGATGTGGCCTATGCAGCTCATGCCACCCCACGAGTCTCTAATCCCATTGAAGTGGCATTTTCGGCTCGAGGCGAGCAAAGCCTCGTGATATTAGCAAGATCCAGTGCTATTCATGTAGAGAATATGACCACTATGCTAGTCAATGTAAAAACAAGGTATGTAACTATTGCGAGAAGCTAGGACACCATATTGGGGAATGTCCTCGACGTCCTCGGAATTGTCCCAAAGCATACCATGCGTATGTCTCTCCTCCACAACGAGCATACGGTTCCTCCTCCATCCGTAGCCTCTGCTGATATAGGTTCCGCTTCTTCCTCTCTCACTCCCGAACTAGTGCATCAAATGATCCAATCTGCTTTTTCGCCATGGGGTTCTTAGGTAAAAAATCTCCGTTTTTTTTGGTATTTAGACTACGGTGCATCAAATCATATGACTTGGGCATCTCAAAACTTGAAAAACATCAATTCTTATCATGGCCCTAACCAGATTTGCACTCGTTGGTGGTCAAAATCTTTCTATTTCCGGCATAGGAACCATTTAAGCTGATTCTCTTACGTCTAATGATGTCTACCTTGTTCTCGACTTGACTGAAAATTTGCTTTCCGTTGGTCAACTTGTTGAAAATAATTGGGTAGTTCTTTTCTCTCCTTTTGGTTGTGTTATACGGGACTTGGGAACGAAGAAGCTTATTGGGAAGGGACATAAAAAAGGTCGTCTTTTCAACCTCCGAGTTGCGGCTCGAATATTCACCCATACCTTCTTGTTCTACTTTTGCCTTTTCATCTATTAGTGTTCGCTTCTAATAAACAAGAACTATATGCCTTGTGGCATCGTCGTTTGGGACATCCCAATTCGACAAGATTGTTATCTATGATCAATTCCGGTTTGCTTCTTAATAAAATTAATGTTTCGAAAAAGATGTACGAAGTTTTTGTTCCAGATTATGCCTTAGGTAAAGGTAAAGTTCTTCCTTTTCCGTTACACTAACGATACAACAATTTGTTTCGATCTCATTCATTCGATGTTTAGGGAATTGCTCCTTGCATATCTCATGCTGGTTACAAATATTTTGTTACTTTTATTGGTAATCATAGGCTGTTTTACTTGGGTTTATTTCTTACGTTATAAATCTTAAGTTTTTAATGTTTTTCAACAATTTATAGATCTTATTGAAAATCAATTCTCTCAATGCATTAAAAGACTTCGGTCCGATTCAAAGGGAAAGTACATGTCTATCGATTTTCAAAATTTCCTTCGCTCAAAACACATTGTTCATGAAAAGTCTTGTCCTTATACACTCCAACGAACGGGGTTGCTTGAAAGGAAAAATCATCATATTTTAGAGGTTGTTCGTACATTATTTCTTGATTCTTCGGTTCCAACTCAATTTTGGGTTGAAACCGTTCGTACTTGCTATTTACCTCATTAATCGTCAAACTTCTTTCACATTAGGCAATGATTCTCTATATTTTAAATTGTTCAAAAAACATCTAGACTATAAATTACTTGCATACTTTTGGTTGTGAATGTTATGTTTATCTACCTCCTCATGAGAGGAATAAATTTTCTCGCTCGATCTATTAAATGTGTTTTCTTAGGATATGCATTAGGGAAAAAAGGTTTTGTGTGTTATGATTCATTTAAAAAGCGAATTCGGATTTCTCGTAATGTCTATCTTTTGTGAAAATAATTTCTTTTATCAACATAATCTTTCTAACAATTTAGTTTCTTCTTCTTATTCTCTTTTACCATCATTTGAGTCTTCAACTAGTTTTTCAACTTAGCGTTTCAAACTAGGACTTGTTTATCAACGCGGACCACATACTGAAATTTCTTCGTCCCGATCGATGATTCTTCTTTGCCTCCGGATCCGATTCCTCTTCGTCGTTCTACTCGTGAGAGTCGTCCTCGTGATCGGTACTCTCCTTCCTCTTCCTTTGCTCTTTTAAGTACTACCTTTGTTCCTCACTCTTTTAAGCGAGTTGTAGGTCACTCTTGTTGGCGGAAAGTTATGGATGTGGAATTAGATGCTTTGATGGAGAATCATACTTAGGATCTTGTACCTTGCCCGACGAATGTTAAGCCCATTGGTCGTAAATGGGTATATAATGTTAAACCGAAGGCAAATGGATCTTTGGATCATTGCGAGGCTCGATTGGTAGCTTTAGGTAATCGTTAAAGAGTATGGGATTGATTATGAAGAAACATTTGCTCATGTGGCAAAAATGACTACTATTCGCACTATCTTAGCCATTTCCGCATCTCAACAATGGACCACTTTCCCAAATGGATGTAAAAAATGCCTTATTGCATGGTGACCTCGATGAGATTGTGTACATGACTCCACCTCCCGGCTTTAAAGATGCTCCTTCCGGATCGGTTTGTCGTCTTCGTCGCTCTTTGTATGGGTTGAAACGAGCTCCCGTGCATGGTTTGTCAAGTTTAAAAATACCCTCCTTCGAGCCAATTTTCGACAAAGTGATTATGATCCTTCTCTTTTCTTCGCAAGACTTTGAATGGGATCACTCTTCTCGCTAGTTTATGTTGATGATTTGCGATTACTCGGGAGTGATGTTTCGGTATCCATTCCCTTCATAATACTTTATGAGAGTCTTTTCGGATGAAAGATCTTGGTCGCTCGACATATTTCCTTGGTCTTGAGGTACATCACTCGATTCCGAAATTTTTATCAATCAACAAAAGTATGTTCGGGATCTTATCGACCTTGCTAATGTTCGTCATTCTAGTACTTTTGAGACACCGATGGAACTTAATGTTAAGCTACGAAATGATGCTTGGTACTCTTCTCGATGATCCAACACATTTTCGAAGTTTAGTTGGCGACTTAAATTATTTAACCATCACGAGGCCCGATATTGCATACGTTGTTCATGTTGTTAGTCAATTTATGTCTCATCCTCGCCATCTATATTTAGTGGTTGCTCGTCGAATTATTCAATATGTGTATGGGACTATTCATCGAGGCCTTTTCTTTTCTCGTGATTGTAACTTATCTCTTCGTCGCCTATACGGATGTTGAATGGGGTGGTTGCCCAAACACCCGTCGTTCTACTACTCGGTTGGTGTCTCTTCTTAGGACATTCCTTGATATCTTGGAAATCCAAGAAACAAGATTGTGTCTCTAAGTCCTCTACCGAAGCCGAATATAGGGCTATGTGTCATGCTTGCTCCGAAATTACATGGCTTCGAGGCCTTCTTTCCGAGCTTGGTTTTCCTCGGACCGACCCCACACCTCTTCATGCGGATAATACTAGTGCTATTCGGATTGTGACAAATCCTATTTATCACGAGCGTACCAAACACATCGAGATAGATTGTCACTATATTCGAGAAGTTTTTTATTCTCAACTTATCACTCTTCCACATATTGCTTCCAATTTACAAATTGTCGATATCTTCACCAAAGCAATGACTCAAGATCAACATCGTTTTTTGATAAGCAAATTGTCGCTTTTTGATCCTCCAGACATCAATTTGAGGGGAGTATTAGACAATTCACAATAATTATAGTGACGGCTATGTGATAACTATTAGAGCCTATATCCGTAAATCATATTAGCTCGTAAATTAGTATACTAATTGCTATTATTGAGGGAGTAAATTAGGTTACGTAATTTAGTAACTTCCTTTTTCATAGACTTAACCTTATGTATATAAGCACACTACTTGGAACAAGATCGAACGGGGTTTTGAGTGCATATTCTTTCTATTTTCTTTATAATTGACGATCATGGGGCCTAAAATGGACGTAGAGGACAAGAAAAGACGTGCAGTGGCAAACCGGGTTAAGAATATCTTATCCAACTCATTTTAAGTAACATGCCGAGACCAATAAAGATTTAATTGAGCTTAAACAAAAATGTTAGCCTGGTTATTTGTAATTGGAAATACTTGTGTTGTTGGTAACGTGCTCGATTAATGACAATGCCTAATGTTGTTCGACGCCAATGAACGCATGGAGGTGTGACAATTTCGAGTCATTATTGTAAAACGAAATTTGTGACTCGGACTCGCCATGTCAACATGAGTTGTGACATGGTCGGCATTAGGAATGGCAATAAGGCGGAGTGAGGCGGGGATGTCTTGAAAATTTTGTCCCATTCTCGTCTCGTGTTTTGCGTGGGGTAATATTTTTTATACCATTTCTATCCGAAATGCGGATGGAGATCCTTGCGTAACACTCGGTGTCTTGTTTAAATTTTTATTTTTGTTTTGTCCCGTCTTATTTTGCTACTAAATTTTAAACTATAGCAAAAAAATAATTATTCATATAAAAAATAAATCATAAAAGTTAATAATCATAGATTTTATAAATGATATAATTGTAATTTTATGATGGAGTAGGGCAAATGGGACGGGCCGAGCACGTAACATCCTTGTTCAAAATAAATACGGAACGAGTCACCTTTTCTCATTTCCTAATCGACTTGAGAAATTCTTGCGTTGATCGAGTGGGGCTCCGTCGGAACGTGGCAAATTGCCATCTTTAGTCAACATCCGTATCTATGCAAAATAGCTCGAGAACATCTTCATTCACCATGTCTCAATGTAGGGTGAAGTTGTGCCGCATAAAATGATCGTTGCAAGAGCGAAAAGTTTTTCTATTATCGGTTTTCACGGTAAAAAAAAGGCATCGTTGTTAATGTCTAAAAACGACATATGAAAGTTTGTGATGTTTTGTGTGGTAAAGTATGATGATGAAGTATCGGAGGCCTCGGTATATGGACTTAGGATTTTACTCGTCGGTAGTGACTAGCTAGTTAACCGGACTCGGTTAAATTTGTGAGTTTTTTTGTTTGAGCAAGAGTTTTCTCAAAGAATGCATGATTTGGCATCGTACCTTTTGTGGAAAAAAAGGTGAAGATAAAAAGGTTATTATGATTCTTGCTTTGTGGAATCCAATGCTTTTTGTGAAACGATAACTTTTGTATATGTGGCATGAGATTCCAATTTCTCCTTACAAACCGAATTTATTCTCTATTACTTATAATCAAGGGATCGAACAATAATAGGGTCATTAGTAGAAGTGGTAATGAAGTTCCGAGTTATGACTAGTTGCTCCATTTGTTTGTCAAATTTATCAAACTAATACGATTACAATTTACGATTGATCTGGAGAATGTTTTATCTACATTCGTTATGCATCAATGAATACTTAACGTGAGAGAGGAAGCATCTTAGTTGCTATTGAGATGGGAACAGGATAATTGTAACAAAAGGGATATTGATAGGATAATTGTAACAAAAGGGATATTGATACACGAGTAATGAATAGAACAATGGTGCCTCTCATAATTTATCCCGTTGTGTTATGGAGTGGTTTTGGTTCGTGCCATTGTTTTAATGCCATATATACTTGAGAGTGTTCTGTAACATATGTTTTATTTTCGAAGTGTTTTGTATTTATCTTGCAAGCATTCGATTTGTCTTGAGTTAGTTTTGGAGGTTAATAATGAATGTTCGAGCACTCTGAAAAATCTCCCTCCCTCACTTTCCCTCCACACATCTCATATCCTCGTGGGGTGGGGCCTAACACACCATGTGCGTATCACTTTCCTATACATGTTCATTTGTTTCGAGACGACTCTACCGCACTAACCATATACTCTTCTAGTGCTTATGCCCCTATTCAAATAGCTCTATAACTCGAAAGAACACTAACTCATTTTCTAAAGCCAATCACCTTATCTCTCGTCCACATAAATTCTACCTCAACAGCTAGCACCTTAACCTTTTCCTCTCCGCTTCTTCCTTACCGGTTCTTCACTAGTGTCCACCTTCTCATAACAAGCACCCACCAAACATTTTCTACTTTATCACCTGGTTGTAAAGGCTTGTTTAATGCTGCAATCGAGCTCGGCTAATTAGTAAAACATGATGAAAATTTATGCCATGATTGGTCATTTTACTATGGTTCTCAATTGCTCGACATTGATTAGAAGAGTTCATTCTTGCTTGCTAGAGTAACCATGTATGAATTATTGCTTTTGTAATCAAACTAAAATTTTTTAAATTAAGTTCAGCTATTAGTATGCTTGAACTCTTGTAATTAAGTAAAAGATCAATGCCAAACATAAAAGGAAACAATTAAACATGTTACGGAGACGATCAAGATTAAGAGTCTTTATTAAGCGAAAGTCAAAATTCTACACAGTAGTCGTAACACTCAAATTAATTAAATCTTTAAAACATCCAAATCATAAAAATGCAACTTATCCAAGAATCAACCAGAAGAGACAAGAAAAGAAAAATTAAGACAAAAAGAATACACAAATAAATATCATGATCATAATCTACATCAAGCTAAGCTCTTATATGAAATGTTGCAATTAAACAAACGAAATGCCACTACTCCAAGCAATGCCGAAAAGGCTATGCTCTTTCCATGAACAAAAGCTCCACTTTCCGGTGTGGACATAGGCTGGAGTTGAAGCTGGTGATGACATGGACGCCGAGTGCTTGGAGGAGAAGACATGCTTCTGGTCCCGGTGTTGGAGGAGACATTCCTTGCGTTGGAGACACGGGAACCGTTGTTGAAGGTGGCGGGCTTGAACTTATGCCGGGGATCGTTGATGGGCTTTCGAGGGAGGTGAGGACATCGCCGATGGAGGTGATGAGACTAGGGGGACAGTGGGGGAGGTGTCATGGCGGGGGTGGGGCGGATGTAGTTGGTGAAGGTTCGACGACCGGTAGCTGAGTGGCGGTGTCATGGCGGGGGTTGGGGTGGATGTAGTTGGTGAAGGTGCAGATCGGTAGCTCATAATATATCATTATTTCGAGTAAAGTTGCCTCTTAATGGATAATCATTTTAGGCAAGATTGCCAATTTGGTTCATTGTTTTAGGTAAGATTGCCTAACAATCATTTCTCATTTTAAGCAAAGTTACCATATTTAGTTCATTTATTTTAGGTAAGGTTTTCTAGTGATCATTTCTTATTTTTAGACGAATTGCCAATTTAGTTTATTACTTTAGGTAGTGTTGCCTAATGATCACTTTTCATTTTCAAATGGGGTTGCCTAACTTAGTTCGTCATTTTAAGTGGGGTTGCCTAACGATAATTTTTTATATTTAGACAGTGTTTGCCTCACTTAGTTTATCGTTTAGAGCAAGGTTGCCTAATGAAAATTTTTTATTTCATGCAAGGTTGTTGAATTTAGTTCATCGTTTTTGGCGGGATTGCCTAACGATTATTTCTTGTATTTAGTCATATTTAGGCGGGGTTGCCTAACTCGGTTTGTCATTTTAAACAAGCGATCACCTATCCTTTTAGGCGAGTTATCTAACGATCATTTCTCGTATTCGGACGGGGTTGCCTAATTTAGTTCATCATTTTAGGCGAGTTGCTTAGCGATTGTTTCGAATTCCAAACGGGGTTGTCTAATTTATTTTTGATAGGGTTGCCTAGTCATAATCTTTCATTTTAGATAGAGTTGCTTAACGACCATCATAGCTTACTTTTTAAGATGAGCCATTCTTGAAAACAAGGTCATCGCATTATATCTTACTTTTCATAGCGAGACCACCCTTAAGAGCAAGGCCATCGTATCGTATTTTGCTTTTCATGGCGAGATCGTCCTTGAGAATAAGGCCATCCCATCGTATTTTATTTTTCAAAGCAAGCTATCATTTAGAATAAGACCATCACATTTTACTTTTATAGATCAAGCCACCCTTTCAACCAATGCATTTTTGCCATTTAATTTATTTATTTTTCTCTTTCTTTACAAGTGCGAACTTCAACTAGCAATTGCATTGTGAGCATTGTAAAGATAAGACATCTATCATAACCTAATGTTTAGGTTATAAATTTTTCTTCCATTTTATCCGTTTTAGGTTTTTTTTTTTTAATTGTTATTTTACTTTTTATTATTATCCCTCTTTATTTATTATTTTTGTTATTTCTTAGTTTGATTTTTTTTTTAGTACTTCCTATAAAAAAAAACGAGAAAAGAAATAAAAAATACAAAAATAGAACAAATTTAAAAATACAAATTGAGGGATATTTTTAATCGGAGATATAATTTGTATTAATTTACGAGTTAGAAATTAGAGGCTATTAGGGGTCAAATTGAACAAAAATTAACTTCCCAAATCTGTTGTATTTTAATTCAGTTAACGGAAAAAGTATTCTGCAAAAAAATAAATAAAATGCTCACAAGTTTATCGTTAAACTTTTATAATAGGCATAATGCTTGTTTGAAAGCATTTATACCTTAAAAAACAACTAATCGTTTGAACGAAGGTTGAATAATGGTTAAGAACTCTATATTCCACAACACTCCTTCCCTCTTTGTTCTTAGTTTTCAAGCATTGAAAACAACCCGAATTCCTATTTTCACAAAAAAAAAAAAAAAAAAAAAAAAAAAAAAAAAAATCCAATTCAATCTTACAATCAAAAGCCTAAAATTGCTAAAAAAAAAAAAAAAAAAAAAGGCATCTTGTTGACTAAAGATCTAATGTACGAGTTCAACGCATAAAAATAAACACAAACAAATTTGGATATAAAAGAAGAAAACTAAATCACATTAATTGATATTGTCCTAGATGCGAGCAATACATAATTAGCATAATTAGGGCTCCGTTTGTTTGGTGAAAAACAACTTTCATAGGAAAATCTATTCCCGAAGAAGCTATTTTAAAAAAAATTATTTCGAAGAAAATATTTTTTGCCGTTTGACAATTACATGAAAATACTATTGAAAAATATATTCTAGCATTTGTTTGATATAGAAAATTAAAATATAAAAATAATATATGATTGTTACATCAACACGTTTTGAGAAAACTTCAAAAAGGCATATTCACAATTTCACAATATAAGATACATTTAGAAAAATTTTATAAATTTTCATAAATACTCACTCTAAAATTTTAATTCAAAAAATAAAATATACCTTTTTAATTGTCAAACCAACTCATCAAAATTACTCGAGACAAAATCAAGTCAATATTCACATTTAGTAAAAAAACTTTTTTTTTTAAAGTAATCCTAGTATTCCTATTTTGGTAACTCAATTAAGAATTATTTTTTTCCAAATTGAACTAACAATTTAATCTAAAAAATAGTTTTATAATTATTAGTTGTCATTTGTAGATAATTATTCATTTGGTTTCAAAAGATTAATATTGAAATAATTTGTAACTAATTATTTATTACAATTATCAATAAAAGTTTACAATTGATTAAAATTACAAATTATTGATTTAGTTTCAAATGAATAGCATTGAAAAAATAATGTATTTATTAATGAATTAATTAATTTTAAATTTTTTACAAAAAATTATAGTCTTGTAATAATTATTTCCAATCATTTAAGTATAGTTTAGGTAATGTTTGAGATAATAGGAAAACAATAGAGGTAAATTATTAAAATATTTATTATAAAAATAATTTTAAGGTATAAAAATAGTTTTTAAGAATATGTAATGTATCTATAAATCAAAAAATAAAATATTAATAGAAATAGAGAAAAATAATTAAATAATTATTAAGGAACAATCAAAAATTAATTTGATATATTTTAAATAAAAAAAAGATAGAGAAAAAAATTGTTAAAATATATTGAGAGAGAGGTAAGTAATGCGAGAGCGAGACAACTTGTGAGAAGAAAAATATTTTTCTCTTTTTTTTTTAAGTAAGAATTTTTTTAAAAAAATGCTTTATTATTTTTCATTGATTGAAAATTATTTTCAGTTAACTTTTTGCCTAAACATAAAATAAATATTGAAAAATAAAGAAAAAGTTTCGAAATTTATTTTCTCCAAACAAACACAGACCTAGTTGTTTAACCTCCCGAGTGTTTACTTGCATTGCGATGTCGGAGGTAACAAAAAAATCAATATTTAAACCTTTGTGTTTTTCTATGAGTAAGGTTATATGATTGAGAGTATTACTAGATGCGTACCCGCACTACGCTGCAATCGAGTACTCGTTATATTTATAGCGTTAACGATTTGCATGATATACTTGCGAATAAAAGTTTTATTTTCGATGATTAATGTAAATCGAATCTATATATTGAGCGAAATCGCTTGATATATACATACATACATACATATACATATGTGTGTGTGTGTGTGCGTGTGTGTATATATATATATATATCGAATCTATATATTGAGTAAAATCGCTTGATATATACATACATATATATGTATGTATACACACACATACACATGCACATATATTAGCATACAAATTTGTATTTGAATAGTTGAAAAGTTCTTTCAAAAAATTATGTAACTTATTTTATTTAAAAAATTAGAATATAAAAAATAAATAATAAAGAATTAGTATCATGTGTGCGGATATATATTTAATTTCTAATAAAATTAATGATGTATATATATCAAATTCAAAGTACACAGAATAAATAGAAAAATATACAAAAAAAATCCACCTAAATTATATGAAATTTATTGAAGTCAACATGCTAAAAAAAAAACTATAACAAAATTGATTCGATAAATTTTGAATATATATATATATATATATATATATAAACTTGTAAATTGTTTTTAAAAAATTAAGCTAAACTATCTAAAACATACTTTTATCTCTCTCTCTCTATAATCAGAATTTATTAATTATAATAATATATTTTAAAAAAATAAAATACTCATTTAAAAAGCATAAAAATAATTTATTATATTAATTATAATAATATATTTTTAAAAATATTCTAAAATTTTACCAACAAATGAAATTATATCAAAAAAATAATTTGATTAGAATTTTAATAAGAAACAAATAATTGAAGAAACAAATTTTAAATAGTAAGAGTAAAAATTTAAAAAAAAAAACTAAGAAAATAAGAAAAAAAAAGTAATAGTGAAAAATGTTTTAAAAAAGGAAAAAAAAAACTAAGATTGAGTAGTATAGTGCAAACGTAAAGTAAATCATCAGCCTATGTGAAAAAAAACAATGATTGATTTTTAAAACTTTTAACACTCAATCAAATAAAAAAGAGTATAAATTGATAAGAAAAACAAAAAAAAAAAAAGAAGAAAGAAAGAGAAGACATATAAGACATCATCTAGGGATTAAAATTTTTATTTTAAATTTTTATGGATTAGAATGAAATAATTCAAAAATTTTAAAAACCCGAGGAAAAAACTCGGGGTGAAAATTTAAAAAAACAAAAAAATATATAATTTAAAATTTAAAAAAAAAACTAAGAAAATAAAAAAATAAGTAAGAGTGAAAATTAAAAAAGAAAGGAAAAAAACTAAGATTGAGTAGTGTAGTTGAGGGTAAAGCAAAAGTAAAAGTTAAAAAAAAAAAAAATACTGTCTAAATGAACGAGTATCCTCTTCACTCTCTCTCTCTCTCTCTCTCTCTCTCTCTCTCTCTCTCTCTCTTATATATATATATATATATATATATATATATATATATATATATATATATATCAAAATAAAAATTTACAAATTATAATAATATATTTTAAAAAATAAAACACTCATTTAAAAAGCATAAAAATAATTTATTACATGAATTATAATAATATTTTAAAAAAACATTGGTGTTCTAAAATTTTATTAACCAATAAAACTATATATAAAAAAATAATTTGATTAGAATTTTAATAAGAAAAAAATAATTAAAGAAATAAATTTTAAATAATAAGAGTAAAAATGTAAAATAAACTAAGAAAATAAGAAAAAAGTAATAGTGAAAATTTCTTAAAAAAGGAAAAAAAAACTAAGATTGAGTAGTATGGTGTGAGGACAAAGTAAATCATCAACTCTGTTTGGAAAAAAATAACAATCAATTTTTAAAATTTTTAATATTAAATTAAATAAAAAAATAACATAAATTAATGAGGAAAAAAAACCAAAGAAAAAAATACGTATAGTGCATTAGTTAGGGATTGTATTTTTTTTTGAAAAAACTTTATGGATCAGAATGAAATAATTCAAAAAATTTTAAAAAATAATAAATAAAAAAAATAAGTAAGAGTGAAAATTAAAAAGAAGGGAAAAAACTCAAGGAAAAAAAAACGGTTCAAATGAATAGTACCGGCATGATGATTCATTGTTCATACTAATTATACTAATACATTTTAAAAAATAAAATATTAATTTAAAAAGTATAAATATAATTTATTACATAAATTATAATAATATATTTAAAAAAACACTTTCGTTTTAAAATTTTATAAACAAATAAAATTATATCAAAAAAATAATTTGATTAGAATTTTAATAAGAAACAAATAATTGAAAATATAAGTTTTAAACAATAAGAGTAAAAGTTTTTAAAAAACTAAGAAAATAAGAAAAAAGTAATAGTGAATTTTTTTTAAAAAAAAGGAAAAAAAAGAAACTAAGATTGAGTAGTATAATGTGAAAGTAAAGTAAATCATCGACTTGTTTGAAAAAAATAATGATCGATTTAAAATTTTTTTAGCACTCTAAATAATTGAAGAAATAAATTTTAAATAATAAGAGTAAAAGTTAAAAAAAAATAAGATAATAAGAAAAAAGTAATAGTGAATTTAAAAAAAAAGAAGAAAAAAACTAAAATTGAGTAGTATAGTGTGAGGATAAAGTAAATCATCGACTTGTTTGGAAAAAAAATAACGATTGATTTTTAAAAATTTTAACACTCAATCAAATAAGAAAAGAATATAAATTGATGAGGAAAAAAATCAAAGAAAAAAAGACATATAGTGTATCGACTTGGGATTAAAATTTTTATTTAAAATTTTTAGGGATCATAATGAAATAATTCAAAAAATTTTAAAAAAAAAACACGAGGAAAAAAGTAAGTGTGAAAATTAGAAAGGAAAAAAAGAAAATAATTTAATAATTTTAAACAATAAAAAATAAGTAAGAATGGAAATTAAAAAAAGAAGGAAAAAAACTCAAGCAAAAAAAAAAAAAGTTCAAATAAACAATAAAAGAGAGAGTGGTAAAATAAAGAGTTGACTGTTCATTCATTATTCAAATGAAAGGTCAACTCCGTGCCTATTTTAGATATATAAATAATATAGAAAAGAAATGATAGTTGAGAAGCATGCAATAAAAACAAATAGTAATATTGAGTCATAATCTATAGTGATTTTAGTCTACATATATAGTAAATAACTAGTAAACTCTTTTATTTTTTCAGTAATAGATCATATGCGATAAAAAAAAAAATTGTTAATTGTGAAAAAAAAAAAAAAAAAAAGCCTTGGAAGTTCCCGAATATCTTCCTTTGTAGTCCTTTTTCCTTTCAAACTCAAACTCCAATTTCGAGATTAGCTGACAAGAAAGGTGTCTCTCCCCTTTGGCTAGGCCCTGAAAGTAAAGGCCATCAATGCCTATAATATAAAATTTACAACAATCAGTCGAGTCGAAAATAAAGATAGGAACGTGCAATTGACAGCTTTTCACTTTCAGAGCTTAACTCAACACCGTCTTTTGTCAATCTCTGGCACAAATGAAAAGGTACCGCACCAATTGCTTCATATGCATATGCCAAAACATCATATATTCTTGAATCAGCTATGCTAGCGTATATTGCCCACAAATAAATAAATAAATAAAATTAACAAGCTGATTATAGAGCTTTATACTGTGTACGAATATGAATTCAAAACATTCTGCATCCAATAAATTAGGGTTTCTTTGAGTTTTTTTTGTATAAACCACCTTATAAACATAATATTTGGTTTGAAACTACCAATAACAACAAAACAATCAATTTATAACCAAAAAAAAAAATCAACATTAAACAATTAATTTTTTTTTTGAATATTTCAAAACACAGCTGAAAAAATTTAAAAACAAAATATTTTTTTAGGAGCTTTTCTTGAAATTATACAAATATAAAATTAATCCAAATATTTATACATTAGTGTCATTTTTGTTTAAAAAATTCAAAAATTAGAGTTAGAGTTTCGCATATTTCATGTTGAGCAATAACTTTCAACCGACTAAAATTGGAAGAACATGATTTTTATTACAAGATTTGCTTAAGAAAATGAGTTTTCTCTCTCTTTAAAGAGAGAGAGAGAGAGCACAAATAAAAACAAAAATGAAAAATAAAAACAAAATGGAAGAGAAGAGTTTGAGACTGTGCTGAAGAAAATATTTAACTGGCAATTAACAGTGTTTTAATAGTGTTTTTATGTTATCCTTGTTGAGAGTTCATTTTCAAATATTTAGATGACAAAGTATAATTTATGAAAATATAAAGTCCAAAGGAGTTATCGTCCTTGAACCACAAGACGTTTAAAATAATTTACTCTTAAAAATATATGAATTTAATTGATCAAATTAAAACGCAATAGTTTATTTAACGGATTTATAAAAACAAATATTACAAATAGTGGGTTTACTTTAATTGTATTGTATTTTCACCAACTTAGCCTGCTAAATCAGTGCTATAGACAGTTACAGCCCTTTCAAACTATTATGTGCTTAATAATAACATTTTTTGGCGACATCCTTTGACATTTTGAAATCAATGCCATCTCATAAAGAGTACAAATTTCATTCTCTGAAGACAATCTTGCCCCAGTCAGGTAATGTTCTCATGGAAACCATAGGGTATAAGTATCTGGAGATTAACATATGAGGATATTTCAAGTCCATTGAAAGAAACAGACTATTATTTTACTGTTTTATGAAGCGAACAACATTCATTAACAAGTTTTACGTATATTAAGATCTAATATAATTTAATTTTTTTTATTGAGATATTAATTTTTTTTTTTTTATCTAATAGTTTTACTTTCATATTGTTGTTGTTTCATACCTTAGCTAATGACAATTTACCACGTGTGCGTTCTATCCATCAATAATTTATCACGTTATCAATTTAATTATTCAATTTGAGCCTATCATAACATATAATAAGCTATTATTAGTTAAAGGTTGCTATTTGTACTTACGTGACATATTAGGATCCGAAATAATAATCATATAATGTAAAATTTTTAAATTAGATAAAAAAAATTAGATTTTTAATTAAAAAATTTAAATTATATAAAATCTCGACATATCTAAAACTTATCTATTAACTATAAGAAAATCGTTAAAGGAGAAGGCCTCTTTATTTTGCATGAGCACAATCAATGATCCCTCAAATTCTTGTACATCAACGGAACAATCATCGTTTTAACGAGTGAATATGTAACTTGTCAAGTAACGAGACTATATAATTGGACAAGACAACCATGAATCAATTGTCTTGCAAATCGTGTTTACTTGTTGTACATTTGAGGTCGGGAGTGATGTAGGCCATGAAACTTTTTTAGATTATATTTTAGTCAACAATTTTAAAAATATTTAATTAAACCCTTCGATTTAAAGTTTATTTCATTAAAAAAAAAACAACATGTTTTGCATCCAAAAATCATGTATTATCCAATTGGCACCCTCAATCATAAATTTCTAATTCCGCTACCATGTCATCCGTATGATTAAAAAGTTCCAATTGCTTTGCAAGTGAGCGATACTCTTTTTTCATTCTTTTATAAAATGAATTTTTTTCCTCTAATTTTAGTTATTCATTCTATTTTTTCAATTAAATTTCTAATTCAAATAAATGTTAGAGCAAATAGCTACCCTTTGAATTTCAATTGAGTTTGAGAGTTGGTCTTTTTTTGCGACGTATGGGGGGAAGCTTCTCATGTCAAATCCATTTATATATCTTCGGTACTAGGTTCTACATACGAATCCAAATCAAAGGGCTCAAACCCAACCAAAAAAATGGGTACTGGAAGTCCATCTACCTCTCCAACTGCATGGCCCAATTCAGGCACCAGTCAACTTTGCTACAAATCCTCTTCTCGGCGGCACAAGATATCCTCCAATCGGTTTTAATTTTAATAAAACCGAAGACTATTTTAGTAATTCAATCTTCTCAAATTGCTCACATGGAATTCCACTGCGATGCCACCTGTCCAGTTAGCTCAATCTTGTCACCCAATGATTTTTCCTTTACGGGTTTTACCAGAGGAGACAGAGATTGTAGAGACACCGAAGAATGGAATTCCTTGCTTCAAAGTAGAGATAGGTATCCTATGCATAAAGAGGTTTTTTCAAAAAGAAAGAGAGAGGCTTGTTGGAGAAAATGGAGGGAAGCAGTGGTGGCAGCAGCAATTACAATAACAGTAGAATTGTAGTTACAACTGAGAGAAATTCTATGCAAGGAATCAAAATAGAGAATCCCTTTACTTTCAAAGTACTTCAAGTATTTACTGGCTTTGGTTTTGGTTGTGGAATTGGTATTGGTCAAGGCTTGCCTATAAATATGGGTACACTCTCTTTCTCTCTTTTTAATCTACCAAAGTTTCATTCTTTATATTTACATATTGCGCAAGATGGATTTTTTTGATGGTTTGTTAAAACCCAAGAATGGTGAAGAAATTCATGTGAAATCTATCCTTAAAATCCCATGTAAATAATCATTTTATGCTTCTTTCTTTTCTTTGCTTTCCTTTTGTCTTGTTTCAAAATGTTTTGAGTTTTTGTTTGATTGATGGGAAAATGTGGGAATGAGGAGAACTTTTGTGTTTGACTTTTTTTATTGAGTGGGAAGAAGCATTTGTGTTGAGTGTTTATATTAATTTATGTGATTGCATTTTATTTATTATGATTTGTATTTTATTGAGTTGGGTTAATTACATGTTTCATACAATTACATTTTGTTGAGTCGCAACTGGATGTTTTGAGGATAGTCGTTTCTCCTAATTGCATTTTTCAGTGCATTTTATTGCCTGCAATAAAAGATGTTACTACAGCGAAAATAAGGAAAAGAAAGCATAGGAAAGAGAAGAGTTCAATCACACTAATCGTTTGGAATTTTGAACTGACCCAACATATATAATTGTATCGTATGGGGAGCAAATGACTTCCTTTTGGAATTGTTAAGTCCTAGGAAATGTTTATGATTTCCGTAGTCCTTGAATTCAAAGCATTGGTTTCTTCAATCATCCTGTAAGTGTTAATTAGTAGAGTCAGCCCATACATACCTGTACGCCATTTGTGATTGTAATTTTAAGTACTCTCTCACAAGGAGCATTTCTAGTCTTTGGGGTGAAACTAGATTCCAATAGGCACATGATATTAATTTTTACCTTCTTTAATTGGTGATACTTTTGCTAAGGATATCTCTGAATATTTTCAATTGTTGTGTGGTTGTTAACTTGCAAATTATGATTTGAACTATATCCTAGGTGCATTGCCAATGGTGGGCCAAGTAATGAGTGCGACTAGAGGTGCAACTGATGCCTTTTCTGGTGTTACCAGGCATGTAAATAGTGCTGTAAGTCAAATGTTCATTCCTAACTATGGATATTACTACTGTTTCTTCTTGTGGTTTGGCAAGTTAAATTGATCTGATCACCCAACTCTCATTTCTCACTCCTCAGCTATGGAAGCTGGGAGCTAAGAACATTCAAGCAGGCGTTGGATGTGGAGTTGGTTTTGGCCATGGCTTTGGAATCGGTATGCCATTTGTTATGTTCTCTGAAGAACCAATCAGTGCTTAATATTACTGTGATATTATCACATTGACAACATTATAGATACATAACCTGCTGTTATATGAGTGTCTGGTGGACTCTTATTTTGCCCCCTGCCATTGTATTAGCATGCGTGTCATTTGTCTAGCTGGCCGGTATAGGAAATGTTGACGAGGCCCACTTAATTACTGGTTTTTTTCAGCTTGCAGACTCCTTGAACATGAGTTTATTGTGATCTAGAAAGATTTACAAGGAGATAGATATAACTTTTTGAGGCTTCTTCCATTTTTTCCTCCTTTTGCTCTACCTAGGTCATTATGCAAAGCTTCGCACATTTTCATGTTTATATGGAATTTTAGCGTAATGCTCTGGCCTGGATATACAACTCCCATTAGTTCCCTTGAATATTTTCTGACCTATTATCCATTTATATCAAGACTTCTGTTGGAGTATCTTGAGTTTCCAGAATTTTGAAATGAGTCATATTAGATATATTTAATAATTGGCCTTGTGATAGGTTTGGTAGCATATTTAAATATGCTATTCTCATTAATCCCCTTTCACCTTATCATTAACCACACTTTTGATAGCTGAAAACCAAAATTTTACATGTCAGGCCTTGCAGTGAAACCTGGGGCAGTGCAGAAGATGCAAGCTTGTCTTCTAGTATGTAATAATATTACCTTGTAACATAAATTTTTAGTACATGCACAATATTTATTTCAAGTTCACAACTTGTTTACCTGAAATTTGGATGTCAAATATTTTAGGTAGTGTTGACGAAGATGATGACGAAACTTGGACTAGCACCCAATTTATCAATTGGTCAAGGTGCCCTTCCGATGTCTTTGCAAAGTGGCATGAGCATGGCAAATGACTCTTCAGTCCAAAACCCATTGGGAAGTATCGCACAGTTAGCAACAAAATTCCCAGACCAAACATCTCAAGGCCTGTACGGATATGGAAACGTTAGTTCACTTTCAAGTGATGAAAGTTCCACATCAAAAGGCAGTCTGCTTGATAATTCTTTTGGTAGCCGAACAGAGAAGGTGATTAGCAGTTTTCTTCAAAATCCTATTCTGAAAGATGATGGCACCAACATAAATGAAGTGGTAAGCATGATAAATATTTTGCCTTTCTTGCTTGATTAATAGATGGGTGACGCAATCAGACCTTTGGGTGTTCTTCCTGAGAACTTATATGCAGATATTGCATGTTGGAATGCATCCCTTCAGTGCTTTGAGTACTTATTACTATGCCTTCACTAGGCCATCTATTAGCTTTTAGGCTGATTTTTATAAGTTCAAATGCTTGTAAGTAAATCAAGTATATAAGTGGCTTTCAGAAGTTTGTGGCACAATGTTTCAATGACTGGTTTAGCTTATGCATTAAAGCCATGGGAGAAACTGATTGGCAGGCCCTTGGACATCAGCTTGAGGCCATAGGTTTCCTTTTCCTTTAAGAGAAAGGGTACTATGAAGTGTAATGTTAGAAAGTTAGTAGTTCATTTTGTTTCCATTTTGGTGGTAATCACTTTCATTAGTGATGTTTCATTGCTATAGTTAGAATATGATTCAGTTATTAAGGTCGAGCCCCTATGGCCAAAACCATTCCATTTTGATTGTGGAGAATAAAATTCCCTTTAGAGGATAAAAAAAACCATTTGAACTGTGAAGTTGACAGGTTTGTTTTTCCAAGTTCAAATCTAGAGTATGGGCAGCTTTTTTCAGAATCTGTTTATATATAAAATTTAAAGGAAAAGTTTTAAAGCAAAGATTTAATGTTTCATGCTCTTATTATGTCCAACAATTTGGCCTAGTTCAAAGCTGAAAACTATTGGAACTTATCTGTGGAATCTGTATGTATGGAGCAGATTATTTCCTTGTAAGATGTTGTTTTAAGCTATGAGTGCACAAATACTGATGAATACACGATCCTTTTGGAGGGACAGTAGAAGGAAGCACTATTCGTAGATACTCAAAATTTACCACCATAGGGTTATGCTCATTTTCAATGGAAAGTTCCACATCATAAACATACCAAAACCGTTAATGAACGTAATTTTCACTTGATTTGAGATGATAAATAATATCATGGTCTGAAGTATTACAAATTTTCATCTGATTCATGGATCCTATGTCTACAGGCTGGACGTTTGCAGTCAGAAAACAACATCCTTCAAATGGTAAACTTTCATGCTGATCACTATTTCCCTATATATCATGAAGCTATTCTATCAACTTGATGTTGTTTCCATGAAAATATTTATCAGCAATGGAATTCTGGTAGAATACACTGACTGTTCGATATAATTTTTTTTTTCTAAGGACAGTTTTTAATCAATTGTCAAATTTAACAAATCACAATTGGAGTTTCAAAATTTGTTTGAATTGGTTCATTTTCATCTATGTCTATATTAATTGTACGATGCAAACTCTTCCACTAGTTAACAACTCTTTAGTTTAATATCAATTAGTAAATTTGTTAAATGTTCTAACAAGATAAATTTATTCTGTTCAGGTGTTGAGACACCAGCAAATCATTGATGAGCTCATGGAGGAGAATCAAAAGCTTCGTCAGATACTAGTGGAGGACTTAAAAGTATCACCCAACAAGCTCCAAGCCAGTCACTCAACTAGAAACAAATCTCCATGCAGTGATTGTTTTGAGTGCCGAAGAAGACAGAGAAAAAAGTAGATGAAGATGAATGTAATTTTTCAAATTCTTGATCACTAAGTTCTCAATTAACGACCTTTCAACCTATTTGGATGTTTTGCTCCAGCTTCAAAATACTATTTTGAAGAACCATTCTAAGGAGGCATCAATTCTATACAAAGAGAAGAGATATGAGATTAAGTAGGTAGATACAGATATCCATGCAAGCAATTGTCAATTGGTTAAAGATCAGTCATACAAAGAGTTGAAGAGCTTCTGAGCCAAAAGGTAATCTAACCATTCTTTGTTTTACCTTAAGCTTTTCAACGTTTTCTATATGTATTTGTTACGTTTCAAAATTTTTTCAACCACTTTTTTTTATTTTTTTCAGTTGATTGACTGCAATTTTCGCTTTTTATAATGCGCGAGTTATTTGCTATTAACTTCTATACTATGCCGCTGTGAATTCTTATAGATGAAAATGTTACTTAGTTGTTTCTGTCTACATTTGCACCGAGATTCCTCGTTGTTTTGATTATTGCAATGGTTTGTGCACGTTTTACATCTTTTTAATGAACAAATGAATTTTAAAATGAAGATACTAAAAAAAGAGAAGGAGAAACTCTTTAAGCTTTTGGCTGCAAAACAGTATTACTGACAGTAATTTGAAGTCAATAACTGTTGGTCATCGGGCCTAAAATGGACGTAGAGGACAGCAAAAGCAGGTGCAGCTGCCAAACCGGGTTGAGAATATCTTATCCAACTCATTTTAAGTAACATGCTGAGACCAATAAAGATTTAATTGAGCTTAAACAAAAATGTTAGCCTGGTTATTTGTAATTGGAAATGCTGTGTAGTTGGTGACGTGCTGATTAATGACAGCTGCCCAATGTTGTTCTACGCCAGCAACTCATGGAGGTGTGACAATTTCAAGTCATTATTGTAAAACGAAATTTGTGACCTGGACCTGCCATGTCAACATGAGTTGTGACATGGTCAGCATTAGGAATGGCAATAAGGCGGAGTGAGGCGGAGATGTCTCCAAAATTTTGTCCCATTTTGTCTCGTGTTTCGCCTGGAGTAATATTTTCATACCATCCCTATCTCAAATAGAGATGGAAATCCTCGCATAGCATCAGTGTCTTATTTAATTTTTTATTTTTGTTATGTCCCGTCTTATTTTGCTATTAAGTTTTAAATTATAATAAAAAAATAATAATTTATATAAAAAATAAATCATAAAAGTCAGTAATCATAGATTTTATAAATGGTATAATTATAATTTTAGGATGGAGTGGGGCAAATGGAATGAGACGGAGCAAGTACTATCCTTGTTCAAAATAAATACGAGACGGGGCACCTCGTCTCATTTTTTAATCAATTTGAGAAATTTTTATGTTGATCGAGGTAGAATAAGGTGAGGTTTCGTTAGGATAGGGCAAATTGTCATCTTTAGTCAGTATTTGTATCTATGCAAAATAGCTGGAGAACATCATTCACCACGTCTCAATGTAGGGTGAAGTTGCGCTGCACAAAATGATCGTTGCAAGATCGAGTAGTTTTTCTATTATCAGTTTTCGCAGTAAAAAAGAGGCGTCGTTACTAATGTCTAAAAACGACAGATGAAAGTTTGTGCTGTTTTGTGTGGTAAGTATCAGAGGCCTCAGTATATGGACTCAGGATTTTACTGTCAGTAGTGACTAGCTAGTTAACCAGACTCAGTTAAATTTGTGAGTTTTTTACTGTGAGCAAGAGTTTTCTCAAAGAATGCATGATTTGGCATCGTACCTTTTGTGGAAAAAAAGGTAAAAGATAAAAAGGTTATTATGATTCTTGCTTTGTGGAATCCAATGCTTTTTGTGAAACGATAGCTTTTGTATATGTGGCATGAGATTCCAATTTCTCCTTAACAAACTGAATTTATTCTCTATTATCTACAATCAGGGAATCGAACAATAATAGGTCACTGGTAGAAGTGGTAATGAAGTTATGCGTTATGACTAGTTATTCCATTTGTTTGTCAAAGTTATCAAACTAATACGATTACAATTTACAGGTGACTGGAGAATGTTTTATCTACGTTCGTTATGCATCAATGAATACTTAACGTGAGAGAGGAAGCATCTTAGGTGCTATTGAGATGGGAACAGGATAATTGTAACAAAAGGAATATTGAAACACAGGTAATGAATAGAACAATGGTGCCTTGATCTCATAACTTGTCCCGCTGTGTTATGGAGTGGTTCTGGTTCGTGCCATTGTTTTAATGACATATATACTTGAGAGTGTTCTGCAACATATGTTTTATTTTCGAAGTGTTTTGTATTTATCTTGCAAGCATTCTGATTTGTCTCGAGACTAGTTTTGGAGGTTAATAATGAAGGTTCAGGCACTGAAAAATCTCCCCTCCCTCACTCTCTCCACACATCTCATATCTTTGTGGGGTGGGGGCTAACACACCATGTGCGTATCACTTTCCTATATATGTTCATTTGTTTCGAGACAGCCCCACCGCACCAACCATATACTCTTCTAATGCTTCTGCCCCTATTCCAATAGCCCATAACTCGAAAGAACACCACCCCATTTTCTAAAGCCAATCACCTTATCTCTCGTCCACATAAATTCTACCTCAACAGCTAGCACCTTAACCTTTTCCTCTCCGCTCCTTCCCCACCAGTTCCCCCAGCAGTCACACCAGTTCTTCACTAGTGTCCACCTACTCACATCAAGCACCCACCAAACCTTTTCTACTTTATCACTAGTTGTAAAGGCTTGTTTAATGCCATAGTGGAGCTCGGTTACTTAGTAAAACAGGATGAAAATTTATGCCATGATTGGTCATTTTACTACGGGTCTCAATTGCCTGACATTGATTAGAAGAGTTCATTCTTGCTTGCTAGAGTAACCATGTATGAATTATTGCTTTCGTAATCAAACCAAACTCCTTTAAATTAAGTTCAGCTATTAGTATGTTTGAACTCTTGCAATTAAGTACAAGATCAATGGCAAGCACGAAAGAAAACAGTTAAACATGTTACAGAGACGATCAATAATAAGAGTCTTTATTCAGCTGAAGTCAAAATTCTACACAAAGCTGTAACACTCAAATTAATTAAATCTCTAAAACATCCAAATCATAAAAATGCAGCTTATCCAAGAATCAACCAGAAGAGACAAGAAAAGAAAAATTAAGACAAAAAGAATACACAAATAAATATCATGATCATAATCTACATCAAGCTAAGCTCTTATATGAAATGTTGCAGTTAAACAAACAGAAATGCCACTACTCCAAGCAATGCCGAAAAGGCCATGCTCCTTCCATGAACAAAAGCTCCACTTTCTGGTGTGGACATAGCTGGAGTTGAAGCTGGTGATGACATGGACGCTGGTGCTGGAGGAGAAGACATACTTCCTGGTCCTGCTGCTGGAGGAGACATTCCTGGCGTTGGAGACACGGGAGTCGTTGTTGAAGGCGGCGGGCTCATTGATGGGCTTTCTGAGGGAGGTGAGGACATTGCTGGTGGAGGTGATGAGACTGGGGGGACAGCTGGGGGAGGTGTCATGGCAGGGGGTGGGGTGGATGTAGTTGGTGAAGGTGCAGCACTGGTAGCTGGTGGCGGTGTCATGGCAGGGGGTGGGGTGGATGTAGTTGGTGAAGGTGCAGCACTGGTAGCTGGTGGAGGTGTCATGGCAGGGGGTGGGGTGGATGTAGTTGGCGGAGGAGCAGCACTGGTAGATGGTGGAGGTGCAGCACTGGTAGCTGGTGGGGCTGAGACACTTGTTGGTGGCATAGCTGGTCGTGATGATGTTGGGCCTTGAGCAATGGAGGTTACTACGAGAGCTAGAATTAGGGTTAGCACGAGCATGGAACGTGAGAGAGCCATAACTCTGACGCGTGCAGGGTGAGAAATTAGTGAGATTTGAGAGAGCAAAAGAGTAGAGAGACAGGGAGATGTTTTATGAGCAAGGTGTTTAAGAGGAAGAGTACAGAGATTGATATATAGATGGGCAAAGGAAGGATGGAAAGTTTGGAGGTTATGTTGATTAGTATGCTCACATGTGAGTGCATAAATATTTCATGCAGCTGGACACAGTGGCTGACTCGTGTCATGAGAGAGTGATTTGTCCATGGTTGATGTGCGTTAGGGATTTTTTGTTATTTTTGATGGTCCTAAAGTTAGAGAGATTTAATTCAAAGTTTAGACTAGTTTAGAGTAAATTACAAATTAATTTTTCCGTAAAAACAGGTTTACTCTAACAATTGTATACTTAATTAACTTTTTCAATAAAATAAAGTTTTCATCGTTTAGTCTAAAGGCTCATGGAACATCGATGAATAAAAAAATTAATTAATTAATTCTCTTTGTTTTAAAACTTAATTATTTAATTTTTTTAATAATATTGATCATATTTAATTTAATATTATATTATTTTTAAAATATTATTTTATTAATTATTTTATGTTTTTTAAATTTATTTTATTATTATTTTTAATACAAATAGAAAAAAAAATTACTGCATTTGTTTTATTTTTTAGCTTTAGTAATTTAATTTACCTTTGGTGGGTGATGAGGTGATTGTGAATTAATTTAAAAAATATAATTTGAGGAATACAAGCCAATACTCCTTTCATTTTACAAAATGCGCAACTAATTAGACAAGTCAATCACACAAATAATTTTAATGTCAACTTCAATTCTCTGCAAATGTAATTACTATATGTTAAACACCAATTATTTTTCTTCATAATATCTGTGCACAGGTGTTTACTGCTATTACGTAGCCACATTCTAAATTAATTAATAGAAAGACGAAGACAAAGGAAAGGAAAGCAATGCCAAAGGTTGCGGTTAACGTGGAATTGTGAATGTGATATATTATTAGCTGGCTGGTGTTTTTTTGTTCTTTGGTTAAACTCTGGTAATGACTACCTTTTACACAGAGTCACACACACACCATGTAAGAATAAGAACAAGAATGTATTACATGCATACCTTAGGACTTGGGCGTAGGAGTGTAGGACCACTGGAATATGGTGGCTCGAAGCTTCGCTGCCTCGTAATTAATCATACGAATAGCCAGTTTGCCCCACCAAACTTGTTTCACGGGTATCATAATACATATTGTGACAACAGCTGCAACCCATATAGTCGATAGAATCACCTAGGGGAAATTTAGAGCTAATTTATTGAGGTAGCGAAAACTCTCAAGAAAAGAATAAATACCGTTGATCTAAAATTCGAATATCGATTTGTTATAATTTATTTAATTACATATATAAATATCAAAAAATAAGATTCAATTCCATTGATTCAAAGAATACTGAAAATTGAGAAAACTGAGATACTCTCTCACAAAAGTTTATTAGTTAATAAAAAATGACGTTTTTCGACTTAGAAGTCTTACATAAATAGTAAATCTTATGTTCAAATCCTAAAGCAATTTGAAAAAGGAAACAAACACTAAAAATCCGAAAGTAAATAAGAAAAAATCCTGAAAATCATTAAAAATCCGACAAAAATAGTAAATTGCAATTTTGAGAATCTAAATGATATTTTTTTTTGCCAAAATCACACCAACATCATGGGCGAATGAGTTTTGATTGTTAGCTCATTTGACATCGAATTATACCTAAAAACCCTTAAAATTAAGCCGAAAATCCAAAATCAAGTCACCATCTGCTATCATGCCACTTCATGAATTCTGAGGCCTTTTGGCCCATATGGGCAAACAGGATTTACTAAATTTAAATTCATGATTTCAATAGAGAATAGACGGGAAATGTGATTGGAAGGATAGGATTGTTAATAGCAAATGCTAAATTCCCACAATTTGTCGGTCTCCAGGTTGTCTGAAAACACCATATTGTTGGCATACACAAAGGTGCCGACTGCTGGAACATGCAACAGAGTAGACATCAAATTTCGGCAGTACATGATAGCTTCTTAATTGTCACTGGCATCATAGGATTTTGCATCAGCAGAAATAATGATCCACCTCAATACACAAAGACTTTCTTCAATCAGGAGGATTGATCCAGACTTTATAAAATGGTTTTCGATCTTTCTTTAGAGCATCTTATCTTGAATAACTTTAGATGAAAGTATATGTATATTTGATTGAATGAATCTAATTCTAAGAAAAGCAATAATTACCTGAATATATATGTATAACAAAAAATTCTCCACTAAAAAGTCAAGTTTTATATAGCTTATTATTGTAGTGTTTTACGTCACAAATTAATTAAATGCCGGTAATCCAATTTGAATGGTCTAATAATTATTTATAAATAATTAAGTTTCGAGTAATTTAACTATATCAATTTTTTTTTTTCAAAAACAAGTTATTCACGCTAGGATTAAGTGGTTCGAAAGAATTTCGCTTATGACAACCTGAGTTTGAGATCTTAAATTTGATAATTAAGTAGAACATATTTTTTCATATTTTACCGATAAAAGGAATTCATACCTTCCGACTTCCATAATATCAATTGAAGCCCAATACATTACCTACCTTATTACTGTTAGATTTGCTTATGGACCAGCCCTCGATCCTGTCCTTTCAAGGTATTCTTTTAGACTTCAGGTCGCATCCATTATCCATGCAAAGCTTAACAAAATCAAAAGGAAATCCGGCCCACAAACAGATCCACCATGCATGATTGATAAACACAACAAAAACACATAAGCCTCCTGGGTCTTGCCTCAATAATGCATCAGCTTAAGCTAGCAAATTTTTTAATACGTTCATGTAATACCAAAAGAAAAAAATAAAATAAAAATTAAGACGTTTATTTAGTCTCTAAAACTCTTACAATTTTCAATCAAATCAATCAATTCATAGCTAAAATGACCCAACAGAATCCCAAATAGAAGATATCCATTCGAGCTTTTGACGTAAAAGAATTCCAAAGGTCCACAATCCATTCTAGTTAGATGAATAAAATGTTAATATCGATTTTATTAGCAACATGAAACCACCTATTTATCCAGAACAAAAGGATTAATCCATTTGCATGGGGGAGGGAATTCATAACAAATGGAATCATGCAAGAGAAACTTACAATCTCGGAGCTTCTAAATGAGGACTCGCACAAGAGATGAATCGTACCTAATCAAGTCATATATATATATATATATATATATATATGTATGTATTGTTGAAAAAATAATAATAAAAAGGCTTTCCGTAGACAATTTGTCCACGGAATCACGACTTGCATGCAACTTCCATGCAAGCTAGATCACAGCTTGTAAAATGAAAGCCGTGATCAGCATTGCATCGCCTAAATCGAGGTGGTGCAAGCAAGGGAGAGGTCTATAAATAGGCCTCTCCACCTTAGTTTGCAACATTCCATCATCCCATCTCAAAGAAGAGAGAAAAAATATAGAGAGTGTTTTTTTTCTATTTCAAGAGAGAAATTTATTGTTTTCTCCTTCTAGTATAGAGAGAGGGTGTAACTCTTATTATTTTTTTCACAGTGAAATTCTTCTATCTTGTCCGTGGGTTTTTCCCTTAATTTGTTTAAGGATTTCCATGTAAAATCTGTGTGTTCAACTTTTTTTTATTTCTCAAATTTATTAGTCGCGACCTCGCTCTATTCGATTAACAATACAACAAGTGGTATCAAAGCCGAGTTGTAGATCCCGTAGAGTCCGTGATAGAAGCAATGACGGCAAAGTTTGAAATCAAAAAATTCAACGAGAGCAATTTCTCATCGTGGAAGTCGAAGATAAAGGCTATCTTGAGAAAAGATAATTGCCTAGCGGCTATCGATGAAAGGCCGAGAGAATACACAGATGACAATAAGTGGAATGACATGGATGGAAATGCTATTGCAAATCTTCATCTAGCATTAGCAGATGGAGTGTTGTCAAGCATAGAGGAGAAGAAGACAAGAAAGGAGATCCGGGATCATCTCACTAAGCTATATGAGGTCAAGTCACTCCACAACAAAATTTTTCTTAAGAGGAAACTCTATACTCTTCATATGGTGGAATCTACTTCGGTGACGGAGCATGTCAATACTTTGAATATTTTATTTTCTCAACTCACATCGTTGGGTTATAAAATAGATCAAAGTGAACGTGCTCGAACTTCTACTTCAAAGTCTACCGCATTCGTATGATCAACTCATCATCAATTTAATAAATAATATTCTTACGGATTATTTAGTCTTCGATGATGTTGCGTACTGCTGTTCTAGAAGAAGAAAATCGACGCAAGAACAAGGAAGACATGCGGATGACTTCTCAACAAGCGAAGCCTCGACGGTGATGAGAGGGAGATCAACAAATCGTGGCTCAAGTGGGAGCTATAATCATGGTAGGTCAAAATCAAGAAGTAAGAAGAGTTTTAAATGCTACAACTATGGCAAAAAGGTCACCTAAAGAAGGATTGTCGAGTTTGAAAAATTTCAATCCTCAAGGAAATGTGACAAACACTTCGGATGATGGAAACGCTTTGTGTTGTGAAGCGATAACGTCACATAGTGATAGAAAAAGATTTATCGATGTGTGGCTATTCGACTCGGGAGCTACGTTTCACATGACCTCTAAGAAGGAATGGTTCTATCATTATGAACCTATTTCGGGAGGATCCGTGTACGAGTTGCAATAATCATGCTCTAAAGATCATTGGCATTGGAACCATAAAGTTAAAAAAGTATGATGGTACAATTCGTACTATTCAACAAGTGCGACATGTGGAGGGCTCGAAGAAGAACTTGTTGTCTATAGGACAACTGGATGATCTTGGATACAAGATCGATATCGAGAAGGGTATCCCGAAGATAATCAAAGGAACGCTTGTACTTATGAAGGGAGAAAAGATAGCTGCAAACTTATACATGCTGAAGGGAGAGGCTTCACAAGAAGCGAAGCATCGGTTGCTTTAAACAAGTTCGAGTGAAAGATCCGCAATAATGTGGCATCGAAACTTGGGCATATGTCCGAACAAGGAATGAAAATCCTTGCTTAGCAAAAGCTACTTCGGGACTCATAAAAGTATCTTTACCCTTTTGTGAGCATTGTGTTATCAGTAGACGGCATCGATTGAAGTTTAGCACATCAAATTCTAGAAGCAAGACTATTCTAGAATTGGTTCACTCGATATGTGGCAAGCACCGGTTCCATCCCTAGGAGGAGCGAAGTACTTTGTGCCTTCATTGATGATTATTCTAGAAGATGCTGGGTGTATCCTATCAAGAGGAAGGGAGATGTGTTTTTAGTCTTCAAAGTTTACAAAGCGTGGGTTGAACTTGAGTCCGGAGAGAAGATCAAATGTTTGAGGACGGATAATGGAGGAGAATACACTCGGTGATGAATTTGATACATTCCGCAAACAAGAAGGTATTAAAAGACAGTTCACGGTTGCATACATTCCTTAACAAAATGGAGTGACAGAGCGGATGAATAGAATCTTGTTAGAAAAAACAAGAGCTATGTTGAGGACTCGCAGGCTTAGGAAAAGCATTCGAGCGGAAGCGATCAATACCGCTCGTTATATTGTGAATCGATCCCCATCAACCGCAATTGAGTTGAAGACACCGATGGAGATGTGGACCGGTAAGCCAGTTGATTATTCAAATTTCCATATATTTGGAAGTCCTGTGTACGTGATGTACAATGCCCAAGAAATCACAAAGCTAGATCCAAAATTTAGGAAATGCTTATTCTTGGGGTATGCTGATGGAGTCGAGGGTATCGCATGTGGGATCCCACCGCCCACAAGGTTATTGTCAATAGGAAGGTTATTTTTGTAGAAACGGATCTACAAAGGAAAAAACAAGGTAATAGCACTTCGAAACTACAAAGGTACGAGTGGAAAAAGATCCCGAACAAAAGGATCCTTTTGAAGCGAGCATCGGAGCATGAGGGAGAGGAACCAGCTGAGTCCGAAGTTTCGTAACCCCGACGGATCGATCGTACAAAAAGGCGACTCGATTGGCATTTAGACTATATTATGGAGAGCAATGTTGCATACTGTCTTTTAACGGAGGAAGGAGAGCCATCAACTCTCCAAGAAGCAATGAACAACTTAGATGCATCTCTGTGGATGGCAACGAATGCAGGAAGAAATTGAAGCTCTTCGCAAGAACAAGACTTGGGAACTTGTGACATTACCACAAGGAAGAAAGCCCATTGGTAATAAATGGGTTTACAAGATCAAACGAAATGCCGATGATCGAGTGGAGCGATATCGTGCAAGGTTGGTGGCGCAAGGTTATGCTTAGAAAGAAAGGATTGACTTTAATGAGATATTTTCTCCTATGGTTCGACCGACAATAGTCCGAGTAGTCCCGGTAATGTGTGCTATGTTTGACTTACATCTAGAGCGAGTTAGATGTGAAAATGACTTTTCTTCATGGAGATCTTGAAGAAGAGATTTATATGCTCCAGCCAGAAGGTTTTGAAGAAATAGGAAAAGAGAACTTGGTTTGCGGAGTTGACCAAATCTCTCTACGATCTAAAACAGATGCCGAGGTGTTGGTACAAGAGATTTGATTCATTCATCATGAGCCTTGGATACAACGGACTTAATGCGGACCCTCGTGCATATTTCAAGAGGTTTAGTGAAAGTAATTTTATTATCTTGTTGTTGTATGTCGACGACATGTTGGTAGCGAGCCCCAACAAAGATCATGTCAAAGAATTGAAGGCACGATTGGCTAAGGAATTTGAAATGAAGGACTTAGGACCAGCAAATAAGATTCTAGGGATGCAAATTCACCGAGACGAAATAATAGGAAGATTTGGCTTTCTCAAAATACTTATTTAAAGAAGGTCTTGTGACGTTTCAACATGTAAGATTGTAAGCCAATTTCTACGCCATTTCCTATTAATTTTAAGTTATCCTCCAATATGAGTCCTAGCAGTGAAGAAGAAAGGATGAAGATGTCTCGAGTACCGTATGCATCGGTAGTGGAAAGTTTAATGTTCGCTATGATTTGTACAAGGCCGGACATTACGCATGCAGAGTGGTAGTGGTTAGTCGGTACATGGCGAATCCCGGTGGAGAGCATTAGAATGCGATAAAGAGGATCCCGAGATACATTCAAGGAACCTCGGATGTTGCATTATGTTATGGAGGATCATAATTTACCGTCGACGGTTATGTTGATTCCGATTATGCAGCTGATATGGATAAAAGCAAATCAACTATAGGTTATGTGTTTACGAGTTATTGGTGGAGCTATAAGTTGGGTTTCTAAACCGCAATCGATTGTGGCTACGTCAACAACGAAGCGTGAATATGTAGCGATTACACAAGCCAAGAAAGAGGCGATTTGGGTGAAAATGGTATTGGAGGAACTCGGGCACAAATAAGAAAAGATTTCTCTGTTTTGCGACGAGTCGATTGCCTTGCATCTTGAAAGGAATTCAGCCTTTCATTCAAAGACAAAGTATATACAAGTACGAGTATCACTTCATCCGTAAGAAAGTGGAAGAAGGAACCGTGGATATGCGGAAAATTCATACCAAAGACAACCCGGCAGATTTTATGACAAAGGCAATCAATGTTGATAAGTTTATTTGGTGTCGATCCTTCGCGGCTCGATGAAGACATAAGCAACATGGAAAGACAAGATAAAAAGAATAGTGTGAAGATCCGATTGACTTTCAATCAAATCTTCAAATGGGAGATTGTTGAAAAAAATAAAAAAAAGGCTTTCCGTGGACAATTTATCCACGGAATCACAACTCACAAAATGCAAGTCGTGACCGACATTGCACCGCCTAAATTGAGGCGGTGCAAGCGAGGGAGAGGTCTATAAATAGGCCTCTCCACCTTAGTTTGCAACATCCCACCAACCCATCTCAAAGAAGAGAGAAAAAATATATAGAGTGTTTTTTTTTTCCATTTCAAGAGAGAAATTTATTGTTTTCTCCTTATAGTATGAGAGAGAGTGTAACTCCTATTATTTTTTTCATAGTGAAATTCTTCTATCTTGTCCATAGTTTTTTCCCTTAATTTGTTTAAGGGTTTCCACGTAAAATCTATGTGTTCAACTTCTTCTTTATTTCTCAAATTTATTAGCTGCAACCCCGCTCTATTCGGTCAACAATACAACATATATATATATATAGTATTCTATGGTGTGCTTAATTGTGAAAAGAAAAGGAGGCAGAACAGAAGCTGTCAATTGTCCTATTAAGCTGAACTATAGATGTCTACTATAATTCCACACACCAATTGTAGTGCAAAATTAAGCAATTCCAGAAAAAGCACAAACCATGCCTAGTCTGGTAAAAGTCGACTCTTTGACATTTACAAAAGCTGAGCCCAATCTTGAGCATTACCCATTGTAACAGTTCAATCAATGAACATCGTGAGTACTCAGAACAAACCCTACACATGCGCAGGGTCTTAAACCACAGACAATGCCATCAAATTATACACTACGTAAACCCATATTCATGAGACCGACAAATGTTTTTAGCTTTTAAAGAAGCGTATCTTTGACCTTAGTTCCTTATTCCTTTTGTTTTGTGAAGTTTCATGAGGCCATACAGTATTTTCACCTTTCGTCGCCTAGAAGTGGATCACGAGGTCCAGAATCTGCAAAACACATAGACATTACACGGATACCTTCAAAATTAATGTATCTCGTTTAGAGGGAAATTTCACACAAATTGGATTGCACTCAGGATCGAGTACTGGCAGAGAAAAACAGAAGGATTAGCCGATGTTACAAACTACATGGAATCTTTTCCTCCATTCCCACCACTCCCTTTTGCTCCTAATCAATCTACTTACACTTCTTAACCAGTGCATCGATAGGTTCTTGCAATTCGCGGTAGTATTCAACTAGTTCTTTAATTATGACTCTTGTATGCATTGTTCTTTAAATCCTAAGTAAGCGCTATGATTGATAGAATAGTGGAATTCCATAACTTCATACATTGACGTATTTGATTTCATTATCTTTGCTGACAGCATCACATCAACATTTTATTTCTTGTCATTTACCACTGAAGCAATGCTTACTATGCAAACACCAACATGTGTGTTTCAGGGCAGTTCATTGCCTCGCCTCCAGGTCCATGTCGCTGCCTTCTTTTCCTTTTGACTTCACCTAGAACCTGACGTGATAAAATAAGCATGGCAATGACAACACAAACTGCAAGGATCTTGGAAACTACATTCCATCGTTCCGTTCCATGGATAAGCCCAGTGAGAAGAGGACCAAGAGCTTCACCAAATGATCCAGTGCCATTAACAATGGCAGCCACAGTAGCCAAGGCGCGAGAAGTCCTTATAATGGAACTATGTGTGCCAAATGCCAAGGTCAGCAGAGACTGCAGTTGCGATAATAGCATTTGACCCACTTACGAAGAAGCCAGAGATGACCATAAACGTAAATTTCACAGGCTGAACCTTCCCAAAAAATTGGTAGAATATTAAAATTGAAAGAATTGCAAAAGCATGAAACCGGTTGCTGTACCAGCGGGAGCTTCACATCTGTCAGATATATAAACAGCAACAATTGCTCCAAACAGGCCTCCCACATCAAACATAATAGAGATAGTTACAACTGTCTCCACAAAAAGCATATTTTAAGAAGAAAATCATCGACAAGAATAGCAGAATGCGTCCCTCTTTTGTACTTCAAAGAAAACAATCACGACAAGAAATGACGGCGTAGATAACTTCTCTACTATACAAATGACTAATCAACGCAATTAAAGGATTCAACAGACGATACATTCAAAGTTAAAGGAAGGGAGGAGCATAAGATTAAATTGAATATACAACCTATTCTAATTTTATGCTTATTTTTGAGTTATTATGCACAACTTTAAATCCTAATCTAAATTTCAGCGACAACCACAACAACTTGCAGCATGCAATATTTTTGTTTTGTTGGTCAGAATCCAGAAACAATATACCCATCAAACAAAATTATAAACTACTTGATCCTGACTCAAATAAGATGGTAACCAATACGTGAACGAGTGAGATACAAGCTTCGTAAAGAATAGAGAAAGCGCAAATGGCGGCACTCCTGGTATCCTCCAAGCTTCAAAAAACCCAATATTTCCTGCAACCCCAATTTGTCGCTGGACGATATCCCTCTCCTCCACTTCACCGCTTGGATCTTCCTCTCTCTGACCAACCCCAATTTGTTGTTGGACAACAACCCTCTCCTCCACTTTAAATCAAACAGTCACCACATTATCGGCCAATAACAAGGATATAGCCAAGATGGGGAGCAAGGAAATGGGAAAGGGAGCAGTGAAATTTAAATTCACCATGCGGTTTACTACTTCTTATCATTAAATAATATAATATGGACAATCCCCATAGGCTTGACATTATACTGTGATATCTAGTTGTTTTTTAGGGTGCAACAGGTAATGGAAATTTAGACTATCTAGGACACTGTGGCCATTATTTTAACCAGTTGATGTATTTATTAAATCACAAAGGAAAAGATACATAAAAATTAAAAAATATATATATAAAGGTGCAGCCAATTAAGCTCAGAGGCCATGGCTCTTCTGATTCTGCGCATGTCTTGCTGCAATAAATATTATTGTTGTAATTGTGATCTTGTCTTATGTAAGTTCTTTGCTAGCTAGTTAGCTAGGTGCCTCTGCACTAGATTGCTTTGGTACCATGTATAATCAATTTCTAGGAGCAATGTTTCCCTCCTCCATAATTACTCACGTGATTTATTATGGGTTTATTCCATATTTATATTATGTATTTTTCGATTTTTTCTTTATTGACATCTTTTTTTCTTTTCTTTTCTTTTCTTTCTTTTTTTTTTTTTTTTTTTTTTTAAGATTGATTGAGATCTTTTACTTTTTAAAATTTGTTGCTTTAAACCTTTTGTTATAACGTTACAAATTAAAAATCAAAATGTAGCATTGTAAAGTATAAAATCTCAACCATATATCGTTAATTAATTGATGACTTTATAATAACGGATCTAAATCAATAAATTTTAAAAAATAAAAAGTCTCAATCAAGATTGAAAAAAAGCAAAGGATCAATCAAAATTTTTTTGAAGAGCACATGATCTAAATGTATGAAAACCCATTTATTATAAGAAGAAGAGAAAAAAACTCCCTCTCTATTTCTGTACAGTTTTAAGATGAAATTTTGAATTAATTGTGTATCTTGTTCACTATTGGTTATGCTGCATTGTATCTAATTTTACTATCGAAAGGACTAACTGTCAATTAAATAAATTTATCATGCATTTTCTTACATATTATTCAACAAAATAAAAAATTTAAACATTAATCTTCAAATTAATTTCAACTTAAATTGTTCTACCAAATAAAAAAATTCTAATCTTTGTTTCCCACCAATGAAAAGATTAATTAATTGGCAAATAAGAATTTTTTTTCTACTTTTTTTTTCTCATCCTTTTGGTCAGAAGCTCTAAAGGAGAAATTTTTTTAGAAGAATTAAATATTCCTGGTGAGGATGTAGCTTCCATATTCTTCTTACTTGGGTTGTGCAAAAAGAGCAAGACTAACAATGCCAAATGGTAGCTTTAATGGTTGTTGCAGCTCTAAGGATCTGCTGCAGGCTTGGTTTCCTTGCAGCTCGAAGGGTTGACATTCTTTGAGAGGTTTTGGGGTAATGTTTCGATTCTTTGCTCATTTAATTTGGACTTCTTTAGTTATTTGCCTGCTTACTTGATCTTTCCTGTTTTTATTATTTTTTTCGTTTGATAAAAAGAATTTTATTAGACTTTTCATACAGACTAACAAAATGCAAGAGATACTATGTCAATTCATATATTTTTATTTATTTAATTTACTATATTTTCTCTTAAAATTAAATATAGTTGAACAAAAAAAAATTATTGAAATTCAATTTTTAAAGAGAGGTAAAATTTGATACTCAGTTTTTTAACTTTTTGATAAAGACATATTTTGAAACATTTAAATAAAGAAAGGACTTTCTTTATAAGAGGGAGAAAGTGTATTAATATCCATCATATACCCTAGATTTTATCATTTTATTAACATTTTATGGGTATTTTTCATACAAATAAAAACTCAAAACAATGTCAAATGGTGATTGTTTATTTTTATTTGTTATTCCTAACTCCATGAAAAAAAAGAAAAAAAAATAGTTCATTCTGTCAAAAAATATAATAAAATCATATCACTGCAACATGCGCAAAACCAAACAATTTAAATTGTTTTAGGATTTAAAAATGATTGTTTAATATGATATGAAAGTTATTTCAAAAATTAATTAAGAATTAAAGTCCTACCATGTCCTTTTTCCTAATTAAAATTTCAAGATAAGAAGGATGTGCAAATGCGTTAATTTTTAATAACAAGAGGCATCAATCTAATTAAAGGCATGATTCATATCCCTTGATTAACAAAGCAAATGTATCTACTTACTCTCTCTGATACTCGATAATTTGAATAAACCGTAGGTGATCATTTTAATTTGGTAATTTTACTTAAGATCGGTCCATTTCAGCCATAAATAGATCATCAATGCAGCAGGGGAAGATTCAATCGGTTAGATAGAAACACATATGGCTAGTTTTCGAGTTAATGTAGGTGAGAAGTCCGGTCCAGTCTATTAGGTACATTAATTATGGAGATCGTTGGTTTTTTTTTTTAAAAAAAAGAACATTGTAGCTAAATTTTACCTCCTATGTATACAGTTATTTTTTTTTACCATACAATAGCTTGTTCCAGGTGGGATGAAAATTAACAGTATTTCGTTAGCCTACAAAAAAGTTGTTAGAAACAAGTCATCACTGAAAAACAAATTGCCGTGCCAGATTTTCCAATCAAGAAAAATCATGGCCACCTTATCTTATTTTCTGTTGTTTTCTAACAGAAAAAGAAAGAAACCCAGGTTGTCTGGAAACAGTATATTTTTTTGGCATAAAGAAAGGTTAGAAAGGGATGGCGGTTATTTTATATCAAGAAAAATCCCGGCCAACTGATCAGCTTTTTCATCTTATTATAGCCAACACCAACGAATCGACATCGTCAGTAGACAAGAAAGAAAACGACATATACATCTTCACTTTTGCTAAACTTAGTATGCACATAACAAACACTATCGCCAATGTGGTTAGTTTCAATATGTATGTTCCTGTGGGGGAGAAATCATTTCATGTATTTTGCCCTTCTCCTCCTCCTCCTCGGATAGGTACTTGATTACCCTCCTAAGATGAGTTATCCATCACCAACATTCAGTACCGATGTGGCAAAACCTGCAATGGACTATCCACCACCATCTCAGTACAATGTAGCGAAAGAAAGAGAAGCACAAGGAAGCACAACAATGACAAGGAATGTGATAGGAGGCTTGAACGGCCTGTGCGTTTTCTCGGTCGCACTAGCAGTCTTTCTTGTGGTGACATTCATAGTAATAACCGTGTCGTTCCCTGATCATCCAAAATTTACTATTAATAGCTTCTCAGTCTCGAACTTCAATGCTTCATTTCCTGGCTTCACCGGTAACTGGGCAGCTGATTTAACAATTGAAAACAAGAATGCCAGATTCAAAGTAATCTTCGATACAATAGAAAGTAGTGTGTATTATCCAGAAGATAAGGGTGCCTTTGCTTTAATTAAAAATCATCTCCTTGCTTCAGAATTTTCCGATCCTTTTTCCATGGAGAGGAAGGCAAGTAACACAATGCATGTAGAACCATCCTTCAACATGGGTAAAACAATGATCGAGAGCGAAGCTGTGGATTTAATGGCTAAGGAAAGGGACAGTGGAAAGGTGGGTTTTATTTTGAGAGTGCATTTTAGGACTAGGTATGAACCAAAATCGTGGACGAGCGAGAAAACCTTGACAGTTCGTTGTCCTATAAATATTGTTTTTCATGGCGCTACAGGTAATGGAACTGCAGACCCTGTACACCTATATAGTTGCAATTATTGGAATCAGTTTGTGTAACTTTTTATTTGCAATTAACTCTTCTCTTATATATTTATTTATTTATTCAATCCGGATTGTATACCCATTCATTATTGATCATCCGATACTTGTATTTGATATTGTGTTGCGGGATTTGTTTCAATTTTTTAATTTGATAATACGAGACATCAATGATTCTCCACTACAATTTCCCCTTCTTTATTTTCTTACTAATTAGATTTCCATTGATGGTGCTTTGAAGCCCTTTCCAATTTGTTTTTTTTCCCCTTGTTAATTGAATTTCTAAAGACTCTGTTGTGAGTCCGTAGCTATTTGCTTGAACCTTGTGGGCTTAGTAGACATACCAAGCCTGCACGGTTTAACTACTTGGGCTATTCATTTGTGGCTATTCATCCCTTCACGAGAAATATATTGAAGAGTACTAGTCAAAGCCTTAGCTTTGGATGATTGATGACAATTTCTCCTAGACGACATTCCACAACTGTTAATCAAATTATTGACCCTTCAAACTTTTTTTCTATGTGATCAATGAGTTGCTTAGCAAGTTTGTTTTGTTTTTGTTTTTTTTTTTTTTTTTTTGTGAAGGAGAGCTTAGACTAGAGTCCCGAGGCAAGTAGAAAGAAATCATATGGAAAAAGCGAGATTTTTAATCCGGGTGTATTATTTGGGATGGCCAAATTATATTTGGGTGTTTTATCAAGAACGACCCTGACTACCTCGACTTCTTTACCTTACCTTATTATATCTAACAGCCCAAAAGAAATTAACAAATCGCTATATGGCATGGTCATCGTCAACGATTCAAAATCTATGATGGGAAAAAAAAAACAGTGTGCTCGATTTCTTCTTTTTTACTAAACTTGACATGCGAAAACAAATTGTGTGATTAAAAAATTATAATTTCTGCATTCTGTGTTTCTCCTGCTCCTCGATCAACAATGGCTACTTGGCACCTACAAACGGCTATCCACAACCTTCCAATAACAATACAGCAGCACAACAAGAAGGAATACCAGGAAAAAGCTCATCAACGGAAATAAAAACATCAAGCTGCTTGTGCATTTGCTGTATTATATGGATTGTCTTCGTTATGGTGTCATTCATATCAATATCGATACTCGTGATGCTCTTGAAGATGTCTCATCTTCCTGATGTTCGTATTAGCGACTTCTCTGTCTCGAACTTTAATGCTTCATTAATTTCCTCGCTTCACGGCTAACTGGGTAGCTAAATTAACAATCGAAAACAAGAATTATAATTACAAGCTACCCTTAAAAAGCTACGCATGTGTATATACACACAAATTTCATTTCTGAAATTAAACAAAAGAAAAAAAATGATAAATAACTATTTTTATTAATATAGTTGTGGATAAAATCTCCATTAATTTTATTTTATTTTTTACTTTTTACAGTGTATTATATAGAAGGAAAGGGTTTCTTTTCTCTCTCTAAACGTAATCTTGGGTTATCTGTTAATAATTAATAGCACAAATTTAGGCAAGGTGGGGGAGTGACGCTGTTGATAACACGGCTAAGGGAAGAGGCAGTGGAGTGGTGGATTTTAACCTTGATCTGTAATTTTTCACTAGGCTGTTGAAAAAACATGGTCTGTAGAGATCATAAATTAAGTATGGTAAAGAGAATGTTTTTAAGTGAGATGTTTATCCATGTGTGATTAATTAATTTCTTTAATTTCGGATTTATTTTTTCTTTGTGATTAAAATAAATTTGTAATCAATTATTTATTTATTTATTTTGGTGACAGTTAATTAATTTTTGAAAAATGAACAGTTATGATTGTTAAAAAGTAACAATTAGTCATTAAATTAAATTAATTTTTTAATAATTATATTGGTTATGAAAGATTTTCAATAATTTATAAATAAATAATTGTTGCTAAAAAAAATAATTAATTCTTTCTTCCGTAATCCTCTTTCTCCTTTCAAAAATATTCTCTTCATAAATTCTACAATTTCAAGACAAATTATATGGAAGAAATTTCAGGAGTATCGTCTGCAATTTCTTAATTGCAAAATTGAATCTAAGGATGAATTGTTAAAATATATATAGTATTATAATGAGGTCAAGAATCGCTTTAAGGATAGTGTATAATTATTTTCTGTACGTAATTAAGCATTATGTTTTCTTATTTTCATCTTTGAATTTCTGAAACTCTATTTTTGTAGTCAACATAGGTATGAACCAAAAGTGAGGCTAAGCCAGGAAAACAAGCTAGTTTCTGTTGTATGAAGGTTGCCTTTGATGGTGATACAGGTAATGGAAACGTGCATGACTCATAGCTAGATCGCTGCAATTCTTATGATTGGTCAACGTACTTATTTAACCAGATACATGAGAGAGGAAAAGAAAAGAGAAAACCAAATCAATTTAATGCTCAAGTCAATTTAAAGCTCAGATGCCATGGCTTTACAATGCCGCGCAAGCAATTGTTGTTGTTGACGACGTCCTATGCAATTTGATCTTGTCGTATGTATGTGGCTCGTTATTCCTTTCGTTCAAATTTGTTTGTTCTTTTTTATTTGTCACAAATATTGATAAACATAATAAACATGGCGTTATATTATTCAAAATTGCTTCAATCTTTCAATAATGTTATTTTGTTTGCATCTTTTGACTTTTAATAAAAATTAAAAAAATATAATAGATATGATTTTAATGAGGGATATAAGGAAAAACTAAACACTTTACTCGATGTCTAGACAAATATTTTAAGACAGAAATATAGATAAATAAATTCGGAACTAATTGTGTCCCCTCCTTCAATAATATACCAACTTAATTTTTTTTTTTTTTTCTGTTGCATGCTATTTGGGTATGTATGCATTGCCCATATTTCAAATGAAAAAACAAATCTCTCTTAATTCAACAACTTTATCTATTTGCATGTTATTTAACCGAATAAAAAATGTATATAGAAATTTAATTTTTAAAGTGATATCAAATTTCAGTTGTCTTAGTCAACTAAAAAAAGACTGATAGTTTTCCAGCATTGTTAAGTAAGATTTGCAGATAACAATATCTGTACGCCCACTTTTTTTTTTCCATCTCGTAGTAGTTTGAAGCCTTGAAGGAGTAAAATAAAGAAATCTCTAATGCTTGGTCAGGAATCAGATTGTAACTTCAATCTTCTTTGAGCATTTTTTACAATAGTTTTAGAAAGTTCAAAAGCGTTCATCTTTTGATGCCTTTTGATTCTTTTTCTGAAATAGTTTAATAAGAATGTTGGGACATTAAATAATGGAAGCAGTTCTGGATTACGACTGAGTTTCTTAAGTATTCAACTAAATGACGATGAGGGGATCCAATTACATACCAACACATTCAGTGCATGTATAAACATTGGCGTTTTTTTTTTTTTTTGAAACGCAAATGCCTCCTAGAAGGGCCTTTTTTTTTTTAATTATTATTTGAGTAGCACAAAGAAAATGAGATTTATCTAACATTTTGTTTACCTACATCACAAGACAAATGACGAGGCAAAATTCAGTAAATGTAATCATGCATGAATGCAAATAAATTCATTTTTCATGACAATAAAATACGTTTACGTGATTCGATCGCATCCTGCCGAATATATATGAACTCGGCCTTTAATAAAAACATCTTTTGAAAACCATGAAAAGTACTTAGATATGTTTCATTTCTATGAAGCTTGTAAAGCGCACAAAAAGTTGATCATTTTCTTGTAAACCATCTTGACATAACAAACATGGCTAGCCATGAACCTTTATTGAAATCATGTACTTGACTTTTCTTTGGTTTCTTGCAATCATGATAAAGTATTTTCATGTATGAATGCAATTAGGATACATTTCTTAAGCAATAACATAAACATATTAGGCAATTACATGAATATATATCAAATGGCATAAAATAAGTCATAAAGTTGAAACTCATTCTAAGCAACAAAACAAGTAACGTGAATTTCACACATGAATCGAAACTCACCATGAATTCACAAGTGTTCCCATGAATCGGTGATTATTTGATTGCATGAACAAGTAACATCAATTACCACACCAAGCCGAAACTACCAAGAACATGTCTTATGTTCAATCATCCAATTAACACATCTCCAAAGTTTAATCATCCAATAATCGCATCGTTACACATTCACATAACCTCATACATATTCTAACATCAATTAACACACGAGATATAGATCAATTGATCTCAATTAACACATAACTGAATCCACTAACCAACACCATTAACATCACGGATAATCAATCATCAACAAGGCTAATAAGACTTATGTTCAACCATAAATCGAACACACAACGACATATCTTGTTGTGTAGTTGAGACTATACTTACCTTAGAATTAGCTAGTGTTGAAATTATCCTAGAAGTTCTTCAAAATTTCACCTTTCCTCCTTGTTGTAACTCTCGACCAAGATGTCCAAATTTCCTCTCTTCCTTTCTACCAAACTTCTCTTCTCTTCCTCTCAGCCGAATTGGTCTCCCAAGCAAATTAGTTTCTTTCTTGTTGTTTCTATATTTTTTAAGGATAAAATGTCCCTAAAATAGCATAGAAACTCTTACCCATTTTTCTTTCCTCTTAACCGAATGTTAGGAGGTTTCTAGGTAGTTTAACATTGTCACTTGTATTAAGTAACATAGATATCTTTTCTCTTGTTAATTTTATGTTTTTTAAGGATAAATTCTCACTAAGGTAGCTTGGATATTCTTCCCCTTTCTCTCCTATCTTTGTCGACTTAATAAGCATTCATGGAGCTAAGCTTGCCACTTGGATGGACACTTGGATAATTGCTTAACCATAAGAAATTTCTAAATTAGATTACTTAATCAAATTGTCTTCCTAAGTTAGCATTCATATAGAACGTCATTTAAGTTAATTTTATTTTGTAACATGTATGGAATAATTTATTAAGTCTAACTCCTAAGTTCTTCAAGTTTGCATAATTTACATATTAATCACTATATTTGGTCGCTAAGTTTCATTAAATCCTTATTCTTTTAATTGATACACTAAAGTCCCTAAGCCACACACATATAACACTTAACATTATGAACTTGCCAAGCTAAACACTTAGTAATGCAAACATAAAACACAATTTTCATGCAAACACCAAGTACAATTTTCACATAAATTCAATATACACATACTTTAAACAAATAATCACATATACATACAAGTGCTTGAGTATATTTTAGGAGAAAATAGATATAGATACACACATGTATAGGAATGTTTCAAAGCTGAATTATTATATTTTTGTAAAAAAAAAAAAACAAAGTCATTAATAGGAAAAAAGAATAACAATGTCTAATAATGATCAATCTAGTATCCCTCCCCTCCCCTCATAAAAAAAAAAAAAAAAAAAGAGGATACTATCTAAGCATGTAAAGCAAAAGGAAATCATTCTCCTTTCATAAATATATGGCCTAAAAAGTTTAGACATGTTGGGATTTTAAGATTAATTACTAGTAAGTTTATTGATTGAGTTTTAGAGTTTTTTGCGTTTAGACGAGGACGAGACTTTGCTTGTTAGGTTTTAGCCCATGTGGTCCACATATATATATATATATATATATATATATATATATATAATT